CTTCCTGCAAACTCGGATAGTGGAGCCAAGCCCAGAGGCCGCAGGGCTTTTCGCTGCTCGGAACCCCTCGATTCTCATTTCGTTGCGCGAAATCGCGCAAAACGCGACGAGTGAGCACAAGAGCGCAAGAGCGCAAAGGACCGCCTGATGGCACCTGGCAACTTGTCTTCGGATTGGTCACCACAGTTCAAAGACCTGTACTATCAAGCAATCGCCCGCCTTCGCGGCCACCTAGACCTCGCCGCCGACACTGTGTACAACGACCTGAGTCGCGACTTGAACTATCGCGTGCTGCAGTACGTCGAAGGCGTCCCCGGTGCCCTGCGCCAGGAGTTGGGTTTGCACGACGTGAACGAGGATGTGAGGGAGCGTGCGAAGAGGCTTTGCGAGGCGAATCGCGAAACGGCTGCCAAGCGCCGTAAGCTAGCTGGAGAATGTGCTGAGTTGGAGAAACTGGAGAAAGCACTCGAGGGGTGCGTGTAGTTTTGCTCAGTCGTCCTGACCTGAATGCATGTGCATAGTGGCCAGTCGAGGGGCCTCGAGATACTACTAAATGTCACTGACAAATCTGCAGCCGTGGCGGCAAATCGCCACTGAGATGAGGACATGAGTTGCAACTCGTTGCAACGAGTCGTGGTGGCGTCGCGGAAGCAAATGACCCTGACGTAAGGGAACATGGCGTATCACAGTCCACCTCATGTACACGTCAGGCTGTGCCTGACCGTGCCTGGAATTACTCGGCGTTGCAGTATTAGGGAAAAGTCTGTAGCGGAATATAGTAACGCCCCCATGTATATGGCCATGTAACTGAGAAATGTAGAGCAATTCAAATAGCATGTGAATGCTACTGCCGTGTCTGTCGTCTGCGTTCCCCGCCTCCACCTCCACCTCCGCCCAACTCCCCACTCATTCCTCGCCCGTTCCTCATGCCGCTCCGCCTTCCTCACCATCACTCACTCGTTCGCAAATGGTCTCCTCCCTCTCAGCTTCCAATGTTTCATACACGTCAACTTTCCTAATGTGCAACTGTCACAGGTCTGTCACAGATCAAATGACCATTGCCCTTGTGTGCGCCAGTTCTCATGACATCAACCGACTCGGTTTCTTCATCAAGCTACAAGAACAAGAACAAGCTCTAACTCACTGACAAGTCGACCGACCTTCCGGAGACCGAGCCGAACTCACCCACCTTCTGCCCGCATTCACTCACCTTCCCCTAGGATGTCCACTCTACCGACTCCTCCTGTCACGCGTAGAAGTTCAGCTGCAAACAAGAGCACCGCACTCGCCCGAGCCTCCACTCTTCCCTCTCGTCCTTCCCCAGCGCAGGACAGCGGCAACGATAGCGAGAACGATAGTGGGAGCAACAGCAGCGAGAACAGCGGGGACGAAAGTGATCAACGTTCCGACAGTGAGGTTGAAGACACCAGCAAGGGAAGACCACCGGGTAGAGACGCGGATCATGCCCAAGTTTGCTGAAAGGCTATTGATGCTCTCTTAAAGCTTGAGTAGGTTTCCGTCTTTTCCGTCCTCTGACGTTCTGTCCGAATGTGACGACTGAGACTTCAACGAAGGAGACTATCCCTATTCCCAAGCTGGTCGTGTGTGGGGGGCAAAGCGCGGGCAAGTCGAGCATGTACGTTCCCCTCGCCGTGAGGGCGTCAGTCGCTGACAGTAGTCTCTCGGAGCTAGTCAACGTAAGCTGTAGCTGGGAGAAAGCGATGGCTAACCGGCTAGGTTCCGCTCTTGCGAAACCCTCGCATGTCTACTCAGTGAGTACTATCGCCGCGCGGCACACTCACGTCAGCGGCCCCTTCGAGATCCATTCTCGTTACTGCAAGGACAAGTTTGAGGCTCTCATCGATATCATATACAAGAGCCGCTCCGGCAAATTGGTCAAGGAGCGGTTCACTAAGAAGGCTTTGAAGACTTCCCGGGAGCTGGGAGAAGCACTCAAGCTCGCTGGTGATGAGCCCAGGCGCATGGAGGTTGGAGAACATGAGTCTATCAGGTGAGATATCGCGACCTTCAGCTTCTGACCAGAACTTCAGGTGCTACGAAGATCTGAAACAGATGGATGCTATGGAGAGAAAGGCCGAATCAGAGTCGTGGCCGGACTTCACTACTGGTAAGGTGGTGGTTCACGTAAGTCTTGGTGATGAGCCATCTACTGATCTGACGGTAGGTACGGGGCACACTGCAGCCCAATGTCTCTGCAATTGACCTGCCTGGTAAGTCACCTGATAAGACGGAGCTCACTTCAGGTATTGGTCTCAAAGATCACGAACTTTTTATGGGTAATTGCCAGACTAGGTCCAATACTCATCTCGCCAGAGCTGTACGCCCAATACACGAAGCCGAAAGACAACCTCGTCATCATGATTCTGGTCGCCGGCGGTGGGGTGTCTCGGCGTTGAGATGATGGCTGACTGTGCAGTTGATCCTGAGCCGCGGAGCGAGCTCTTCCGCGCGGTCAAGTCCTGTCGACCCGAGTTCGAAGGGACCATGTGTGAGAGCTCCAGTCGGGGGCAAGAGCTCATTAAAGGTCTTGTGAACAAGTTCGATAAGGTGGAGAGCCCCCTGCAATCTACGTGGGGTGATCTGCTCGGGGGCCGATACGATGCGATGCAGGAGATCACTCCCGAATACGGATACCACCCCTGCGTCATGCGGAACGAGGACATGAGGAATCAGACTCAAACTTCCTCTTGGAAAGCAAAGCAGGCCAAGTTCTTCAACGCAGACAACATGCGGCAGCTCGCCGAACATTGTGATCGCAAGTTTGGGTGGGGAGTTATCAGCGCTCTGATCTACGAGTTGTGCGAGGAGCGTGTTACAGCGAGGTAAGTTGGCCCGGTCGATTCCTTGCTGACCTTATCAGCATCCCGGCCATCGGCAGAATCGTTGTTCAACGCCGTACCAAAGCTACGACCGAGCTCGACGAACTCACTCCCGAGGTCGAGGACGGTGTGGCATCTCTTTACGACCAATTGATCGAACCTCTCTCTCGGTGGATTGAAAGGGATGTCAAGTGTCGCGCGTCAAAGATCGAGGGTGTCCTCGCGCTTCAAAGCAAGTTGAAAGATGAGCTCTCGAGGTCGATTTCAGAGTTCACCACCTCCACGACACCAAGCCCTACCAATCATGACGGGAGCTCCAATGTGCATGCATCGACGGAAACGAAGATTGCGAGGAAGTTGTTGGAGTGAGCGATGTTCCTGTAGCACGCTAACTCTCACTCTCAGATACCGCAACTTGAGAGATGCCTCTGCACCTGACATCGGTCTGGCGGTCCACGAGCTGTACCAGGAATGTATAGCCACTTGGGGCAAGAAGATTGAAGGCACAGTGAAGGACGTGTTCGAGGCTCTGTGGGGAGACATCGTAGCCGACGCCATCAACACTGTTTGCTCCAACTTTGGCAATGCAGAGTCCGCTGTGACGTGAGTGACGAGCAGTGAAAACGAGAAGCTGACGTCAAGCCGGGCTCTGCAAAAGTTGCGTGGCCTCCACGAGAACGCCGCCATCGCTTTTGCTCGCGATCTGTTCAGGAAGGAGCAATGTCGTAAGGACTTCACTGTTTACCGGCCTAGCTACGAGGAAGACACTGCCAGGATCGCATGGGAGCTGGAATCTCGCGACCGCACTACACTCCCGGCCTCCACTACCAATTACAGTCGCTCCCAATCTGCGCCAATCCCTTCGACCTCGACTCAGCACACCACCAGCTCGCCTGCCTCCAGCCCAGCCCACTATTTGCCTAATTCGTCCCCACCCGACACCCACCCGACTCAAGCCAGTACAGCAATCACCACCTCGAGCTCGGGGTTTGTTTTCCGACCGTTGTATCCAAAGGCACCTGGCAACTTGTCTTCGGATTGGTCACCACAGTTCAAAGACCTGTACTATCAAGCAATCGCCCGCCTTCGCGGCCACCTAGACCTCGCCGCCGACACTGTGTACAACGACCTGAGTCGCGACTTGAACTATCGCGTGCTGCAGTACGTCGAAGGCGTCCCCGGTGCCCTGCGCCAGGAGTTGGGTTTGCACGACGTGAACGAGGATGTGAGGGAGCGTGCGAAGAGGCTTTGCGAGGCGAATCGCGAAACGGCTGCCAAGCGCCGTAAGCTAGCTGGAGAATGTGCTGAGTTGGAGAAACTGGAGAAAGCACTCGAGGGGTGCGTGTAGTTTTGCTCAGTCGTCCTGACCTGAATGCATGTGCATAGTGGCCAGTCGAGGGGCCTCGAGATACTACTAAATGTCACTGACAAATCTGCAGCCGTGGCGGCAAATCGCCACTGAGATGTCCAAACTTGCCCTCCGGCCATTTTTCTTCGTCCTCATCACTCGCAGACCATAGCGCATGGCTAAGCTGACCTACCCCTCCCCTGCAACCTATATGGCTCTACTACTGTATGCTGAGCGTCCTGCCCTGGAGGATCCGCACCACCTCTGGGCCACGCAATGGGGTGGGAGGAGGTCCGGGGACTGCTAATCCGTTACGACGGATGAACACTGAAGCACGTTATCGAACAAGTACAAGATGCATAATCGCCTACATAATAGCTATAGACTAGTCCCAGTCCCCCCACACGTCGTTGATGTCCTGGGCATTCCCGTTCTCGTCATAGTATCCCGAGTCAGAGCCGACGGGCACGGAGCCGTCGTAGATGTATCCGTCCGAGGGCATCTCTTGCTTCTGTGTGCTGGGGTCGTCGAGCCACTCCCAGCTGAACCCGTCTTCCTGGGACAGGATGCCGAGCTTGTCGCCCTTCTCCTTCCCGTCGGTCAGGTAGTAGAAGAGCACGGGACTCATGTCGATCGAGTTGTATCCGCACGGCGCGCAGCCGTCGAGCACCTGCGCCGTGGCGCTGCGATTGCCATAGCGTACGCGCACGAGGTGGCCGCAGAACGGCGCGTCCCAACTGTCCCCGGACCAGAGCTCGTTCCAGTTCACCATCGGCAGCGCAACGAGCGGGTACGTGTCGGGCGGATTGTCGATGCCGCACGCCGTCTTGTCGTACCCGTGGTTCTCGTCGGGATTGGCGAGAGAGTAGAACGTCGCCTGCCCGCCGCGGCGCGTGTTCAGCGACGCATACGTGCCGAGCGCGTTTGGCTTGGCCAGCTTGAGCCAGTCAGGGCCCGAACTCGCGTAGTCGTTCTGGCGGGGCACGTAGCGAAGCGCTTGGTTGTAGGCGGCCGGGATCTCGTCGTTGATGTGCCGCACGTCGTCCGGCACCCAGTCCGAGGGGTTGTACGGGTCTACCCAGGCGGTGGACCCGGTGCCGTTGTTGTGGCTGCCCTGGTTGTTGCCGTTGCCGCTGTTGTTGCCCTGGTTGTTGTCCTTGTCGCCGTCGCCGTCCTGGTCCTCGTCGCCGTCGCCATCACCGTCGCCGGTGCCGTGGTTGTTGTTGTCTTGGCCGCCGTGATCGGTGTTGTTCCACTGGCCGTTGTTGCCGCCGTGCTCGGTTTCGTTCCACTGGCCATTATTGCCGCCGTGGTCCGTCTGATTCCACTGGCCGTTGTTACCGCCATGTTCGGTCTCGTTCCACTGGCCGTTGTTACCGCCGTGCTCGGTCTCGTTCCACTGGCCGTTGTTGCCACCGGGGTCCGTCTGGTTCCACTGGCCGTTGTTGCCACCGGGGTCGGTTTCGTTCCACTGGCCGTTGTTACCGCCGTGCTCGGTGCCGTTCCACTGGCCGTTGTTACCACCAGAGTCCGTGGCGTTGCCACCGTTGTGGTTGTCGGAGCCATCCTGGTTACCAGCACCATTGTGACCATTGTCCTTGTCCTTATCGCCGTCCTTGTCTCCATTGTCGTCCTTATCATCGTCCCAATCGCCATTGTCGCCGTCCCACTGCCCATCGTCGTAGCAATCCTCGTCGTCGTCGTCATCATCCTCCGGGTCGGTCCAATAGTCGTGATCCCACTTCTTGCGACCCTTGCGGTTCTTCTTGCGATTCTTGCACTTGTTCGGGCGGTCCTTGTCACCGTTGTCTTTGTCACCGTCCTTGTCGGTGTCGGTGTCGTTGAACTTGTGGTTGTGACTTTGGTCGAGGTCGGGCAGAGTGTTGTTGCCCGGCAGCGTGCTGTTTCCGGGTCGAGGCACACAGCTGCTGGTCGCCTTGCGGCGCGAAATACGGATCGCCCCAGGGGGGATCACGTGGGGCCCAGGTGTTGGGAAGGGTATACCCATTGTCTCCTGGACAATGGGTAGGAGCATTAATAGAGATGGTAGCAGCTTCATGATGGCTGAGGGGCGCCGTGTCGGCCGGCGACAGGCGGTATAGGTTGGTCGGAGCTGGGGGGCTGGTTGTCGAAGGGGGCGGAGTCGGGGTTGTCACCAGCGTCAAGCCGGCGGTAGCGTCTATGTACGTTCGAAAGCCGTCAAGGCTTCGTGTCGGACCAGCCGAGAGTCGTGGACCAGCCCGAAGAAGATTAAGAGGTGTGGTTGCGACGGACCAGCCTGTTGCGACCAAGTGTGGTAAAGTGTTACAGGGGGTAAAGAAGATCCTCCTCCTCCTCTCTTCATGTTATTTAAAGCTCTTTGTTGGTGGTGCGATCGCCGCGGGCCATACGCCGTGGACTGCAAATCGCTACCTGGCGAGAGACGCTTGCGGCCAGGCTGATGCAGGCTTGCCAGTGTCCGCTGGGCGCTGGGCATTGCAGCCAAAGTAGCGCCAGTGAGGGTCCCGGTTCCGACGTTCCGGGGACAGAGAAGGCGAGTTCAATGCTTCCTTCGGTCATCGCCTCCTGCAGGCCGCTAGCGCGGGTCATGTCAATTCATCGCCTGGCGCCATGGAGGCAGGATGTTGCAGGATGAGGGCATCCCTCCAATTCAGACGCGGGCAGGCCCAGGGCCTGCAAACTCGGATAGTGGAGCCAAGCCCAGAGGCCGCAGGGCTTTTCGCTGCTCGGAACCCCTCGATTCTCATTTCGTTGCGCGAAATCGCGCAAAACGCGACGAGTGAGCACAAGAGCGCAAGAGCGCAAAGGACCGCCTGATCGCGTTATCCTTTAAGCATGAAGGAGTGACGCCAGAACGTAAAGCTTGAGCTTCTGGGTGCGCGGCGTTGAACTCTCCGAGACGTGGACAAGCCCTTGGCACCCATGGCTGAGATGCTTGGTCCAGCTCGTCGTCTTGGGTCGCTTGGGTGTCACTGGAATCTTGTTGTTCCGGCACTGCGGTCACGCCTTTACGTAGCGGGCCGGCGGCGAAAAGAAATCAAGCACGTCGGTGGAGTCGGCGGGAACCGTTTGTTGACAGTGTTTGGTGAGACGGCCCGCCCAAGGAAACAAAGTTGCCTCCGGAGCTAACTCGGAGCCCGACACTCCAACCGGTACGCTGCGCTGAACTTGCTGTGCACTGACATCGCGTTGTTTGTCGCTGCTGCGAGGTGACAAGCCGTGAGAAGACGTTTGCGAACGTGTCAGGCCGCAAGGTCGGAGCAACTCTGCTTGCGGGGCGAACGGCGAACTTGGTGCAGGGAGGGCTGGACAAGGCGGCGGCGGCGCTGCTGGGCACCAGATCGCCAGGCACTTGGCAGGAGCGGGTGGCTGGTCGCAATCGGCTCGACCGTCGACCGTGGGAGACCTGCACGGACATCGCCGATCACCCCGTAGCACACCTTGGCGCAGTGTGGAGGACGTCCACACTTTCGCGCCCCCTTTGCTCTCTGTCTCCTCCTCCTTCCTCCTTACAGTCCCTCTCAGCATCATCGAGGCTCCCGCACCATGCCTTCGAGACTCACACACATCGGTGCCCGAGACGGTCTGGAATTGCGATACACACCGTCGCCCCTCTCGCACACAACGCATCCTTTCGTTCCCACTTGCTCGGGCAGTAAACTGTCTCCAGAAGGAACGCAGCACTTCACCAACTCATCATTCTCCTTTCACACTGAACTAACCCATGATAACCCCACTGACACCCGCGTCCTCGACGAGGAGCTCACTCTCCATGGCAGTGAGGGCAACCTCGACCATCTCGCATCCCGATACCCCTCGATCCAGCCAGCACGCAACAGCTATGCAAGTTGTCGACCAGCTGCGCTTGACAAAGTAAGTTCACCTCTCGCACCTGAACTGATGACAGCCCAAACCAAGAACTGCCTCTCCCCACTGTAGTTGTGGCCGGGGCTCAAAGTGCTGGAAAGTCTAGCTTGTCAGTGAACAATTGCTCTCACAAACTGACTTTCAGCCTCTCTGCGCTTCTGGACGTACGAATAGGCTTGCGTTGCAGCACTGATGTCAGATTCCTTTGCACAGCGATGTCGATACAGCGACCTTGTACGGAAACTTTGTCACCTCCGCTGACGGACACAGTGGACCGGCCGAGATTCATTCACGCTGGAAGAATGCACCCTTCTCGGCTACGATTCAGATTGAGCATCTGTTTAAGGACAACGGCAAGACGGAGTGGCGACGTCAGTCGTTTACTACCTTGCCCATCACCAACAAGGAGGAACTGCAGTGTGCTCTCCGGTGGGCCGGCGACGAAGCGCGGCGTCTCGACAAGAGGATGTCGATGAGGTGAGCAAGTACAACCCTCTCGGCTGACTTTCAGACCCTACGAACAGCTTCTCTCAATGGACGAGGAGGAGATCGGCTTCGGGGCCGAGAACCTGGCTCAGTTCACGTTCAACAAGATCATTCTCTGGGTGGGCGGCAACGCGAAGTATTTCTGACAGCAGGCTGAAGGACCAGAGCAGCGCGACATTTCTGCCATTGATTTGCCTGGTAGGCAGGTCCCGCGAAAACCGTTGACACCACAGGTCTGGGCAATCGCCACAGGGAACAGCTGGCAAGTGTGTATTGCATGACCTACTGATCTCTCCTGTACTGACAACCAGGGCTCTACGATCAAGTTCTCAACCGCAAGGAGTGTTTGGTGATCATGGTTTTGTCGATGTCCGGAGGTAAGACCACTCGTTAGGTTTGCGGCACTCACCCAAGATGATCCTCAGCTTGACCTCCCAGTGGTGTCCGCTGTCAAGCGCGCTCGACCCCAAATGGAGCGCGTTCTCGCCATTCTGACCAAGGTCGACAAGGTTGAGAGCGTCGCACGCACTGCCTGGGGCAAGATGGTTGCGGGCAGCTACGAAGCGATGGATTCTGTCAGGCCAGAGCACGGGTATCACCCGTTGTACTTGAAGACCGCCGATATGTACGAGGACGGTATGTCCAAGGAGGACTGGCTCGAGACGCAGGCGGACTTCTTCCAGAGGCCAGAGATCCAGCGTTGGGCTCAAAAGTGCGGGCGAGCTCTCGGATGGGCGCCTACCAGTGAGAAGATCTACGCGCTGTTCGCCGATCTTGTTGAGGCTCAGTGAGTCTTACCGGATGACTTGGAACCCCTGCTCTGGAAAGCTGACATAGTCCAGAGTCCCCGTCATCAAGAACCGCATCGAGTTTGACCTGGAGCACACTCGTCAGGATATCTCGAAGCTGCCACCGCAGGTTGACAATCCCTCGTCTCTGCTCCACGATGGCGTCATTGCACCTGTGACTCAGGACCTGGCGCAGTCGTTCGAGAAGCGCTGCAGTCGCATCTTGCAACTGCTGACGCCTCTTCAAGATTTGCAAGTTCAGCTGGCCCAGAGCATCGAGGACGCGTACCCTCTCAAGGACGTCAAAGTCCGTGACAAGGTTTCTACAGCTTGGGCAGCCCAAGCGCTGACTTCACAGGAGAAGCACCTCTTCACAATCATTCATTCGAAGCTTCACGAGTAAGTTTTGATGCCGATGCAGACTGACGCGAGATACCGCAATGTCCGCGATGGTTCGCGCCCCGACATTGCACTTGCAGTCCACGAGATGACGAAGTCATGTCTGGTCAAGTGGGGTGCCCTCGCCTTGACAGCCAACGTTCAGGCATGGGCCGCTCTGAGCAACATGGTGGACGAGGTCGTTGGGAGCGTCGCTGGAGCTCGCCCTCGCATTCTCTCACGCGCAACGTGAGTACCACGGGATTTGACATTGCCTTACCATAAGGGTGGCCTTCGAGGACTTGCGCCGCACTCAAGAGTCCGCCGTTAGCGACTACATCGGCTCGATCATGTCGAAGGAACTGGAGCGGCAGGATCTCATCGACGACAACTCTCTCCTCTCTCAGGAGGCTGCGGAGGTCGTGAACCTCTGCGCAGCCGAGTTCGTGCAGTACTGTGTTTTGTTCGGGGGGACGATCGATCTGACCGATGACGTTGAGCCGCCTGAGTCCAAGAAGTTCTTCGATGACATCTACCCCGCTGAAGGTACCGAACCCATCGAGTGGCCGAAAGCCTACAAGGACATGTGTATTGAAACAGCGGCTCTCGTCCACCACCGCCTCACCAAGGCCGCGAGGAGGGTGCACGAGGAGCTCCTGCGGGAGATCAACCACCGCATGCTCCGCTTCATCAAGGAAACGCCTGCAAGTTTGAGGACTGCATTCGAGCTCGACGCGATGTCTCCGGAGAAGAAGAGGAAGCTGTCAGAGCTGTGTGACGTCAGCAAGGAGGTGGCGGAGAAGCGTACTAAGCTCCTGGACCAGCAGAAGAACCTGCTTGAGCTTCAAGACCTTATGAGGACCGGCCTTGACAACTGATTGTGCGCGAGCGCACACTAAGCGTATTCATACTCATACCCTGTATGCATAGTTTGTCTGTGAATGAAGAGGGCGCTCCTAAGGTAGGATGGGGAAGTACATGGGTGTCGGCAGCGTCTCTCGCAGGGCCTCGCCCAGCGGCAGATGAGACCATCAAATAATTGGAAGAAGATTGCTACATTACCACTTCTTCGTCACATCCTCCGCAAAGCCGTCAAGGTTGTCAAACTCAATGACCTCCTCTCCGTTGTCGAACGTGCCCTTCCAGTATCCGAAGCACTGATCAGTGCGGGTGGTGACCTCGGGGGTCTCGTAGGCGCTTGCCTTGTCGTAGTACGGCGTGAGGACGGCGTCGAGTCCGGCACCGTGAACGTGCCACGGCTTCATGGGGTCCTCCATGCTGTAGTCCCAGGTGAGCTTCTCAGAGATCTTGAACACCTTGGTGCCAAGCAGGAACGAGTTCTCGGTGCTGCCAGTGCCGTCGGTCCACTTGTCACCGACCTGGAGACCGATCGTGCGGCCCTTGGTGTCCTTGCCGCTGCCGGCTCCCCAGTTCCAGTGGACGTTGGACGGCCAGCGTCCACGACCGTGGTCGAGCATAGCCCAGCTTTCGCCCTTCGGAACGGGGAACGTCTCGTCACCGATCGTAACGGTGCCCTCGGCGGGGCGGCTGATGTCCTTCACGGTGTACTGGAACAGGACGTCGTCCCAGGGCACGACGACCGCGAGGCGCTCGTGACCCTCGGGCATGTGCGCCATGACGTCGAAGGAGGCGCCCGGGATCGAGGCGCGGATACGCGTACCGCCCGGCACCTGGTCGATGTTGACGTGGATGTCACCGATGTCGGCGCTGGCGGGGCCGTCCTCAACATTGGAGGGGAGCTTGACAGCGTCCTCCTCCTTGGCGCGGGCGGCAGCCTCGACGACCTTCTGCGTCCGCCTGTCGAAGATCCACACACTCGCCGGCGCGAAGTAGTCGATGTTCGCGATCGAGAATGCAAGCAGGTGCGTCGGGGTCATCACGAGCCAGTACTCCCACCGCCGGTTCTTGCCCGTAAACGTCGTTCCGTCGATACCGGTCGTGTCCACGATCGGCTGGCGGGCCCAGCCGTGCGCCGCCTGGTTGAACTTGCCCTCGGCGGTCGTGAGGACGACGGGACTCGTGAGCTCCTTCTCAATCATCGTGATGGTCGTGGCCGTATCGGGGGATGAGGGGCGACGGACTATTCCGACGAGCTCTTCAAGTATGCCGCTGCAGCTGCCCATCGCAGTCGGCCGCAAGGTACCCCGACGCCGGACCAAGATTCTACCGCATGCCGTCGATATCCGGCGCTTGGCGTCAGAACCGCCATGACTTTGAAGTCAGGTCCCAGAAGTCAAACCTTGTTGTCGGATGACGCCGAAGCCATAAATTGGGAAGCCCACTTGAAGATCTGTCATGATGCTGCGCCTAGCGCCTCCCCAAGGCTCCGGGACGAGTCAGCTGAGTACACACTACTCATGCGAGGCGGCGGTGCTTTGTCACAAACAAGGCGGACATTGGGAATGTGCGGAACGGACGCACAGTCACGGCCCCGAATGAGACATTCTGCCGGTTCCGGGTCAGCCCCGATACGAGGGCTGTCACCCTTCAGCCTCCTGCCCATTCGGGACGTCTGCGCTCCTGCCGATTGGACTCGTCCGAAGGAATAGATGTCGGCAGTTGCCGCTGCTCAAACTGCTGTATGCATAGAGAGGGCATGCTGTAAGCATAGGCGATTGCAAGAGGGGAGTAGAACAGTTTAGCCTGTAATGTTATCACGGCGTATGTGCGCCGAGCGAGCTGATCAGCAGGGCTCCGTCCAGGGCGATCGGTGACCCTCTCGGAATGCAAGCTGAATGGTCGTGTGCGCCAAGATCTTTCAGACCCCGCCCCACCGCGTCCACGGAGCAAGCCCTGCCCCGCCTCGCGGAAACTCCGGCCGTGATGGCTCGCCGTAACGTTGCCGATTCGTCGTATACTGCGTATAACGCGAATTCCGCGGGGCTCATGTGCTCTCCATTCGCTGGCCCCTCGCGCTTCCCCTCGCGAAGCCTGGAGCCTCATGCGCCTCACGGGGTCCACGGGAGGCTCCTTGGCTTCTATTCACAGACTCGTTCCGTCACTACAAAGTTCAGTGCCTGCACCCTTCCGGCCCCGTCAAAGTCGCCGGGATGCAGCTCACGGCAGGCGACAAGGGCCCAGCTCCAGCAGGCCGCAGGCGGCGCCGTCTGCGCCTTCTGCGCCATACGCCCCCCTTCCTTTGCGCCGTCTGCCGTTGCCAATCTCAGCCCCATGGGCTTCAAGTAGATCCGCGACGGGGCAGCCTCGCTGCGGAGCTTGAGTGCGGAATGGCCCCAGGAGGCCCCAGCTCGCGCATGTGTCCGACAAACTCGAACTTTTGCGAGCGATGACGGATATGAGCGGCTCAGATCTCCTTCACAGAAGCGATAGCCGACGCACAGACGGCGAGAGAGCCGTAGATGTTCTGGATCGTGAATTGCAGCGGACATTGCCGTCTGGAGTAAAGTTCTGCCGTGCTTTCATTGAGATTGGCTGACTTCATTCAGACCCTCGCTTGGAGTGTCGCGGGTTAGACTCAGAGCATATGCTTGACAAACTTGTGGGTCTGAAGAGATCGAGCATGCATACATAAAGGCAGAGAGGGACGCTAGTGGATGGGCCCCCACGGACGACTGCGACTGCCACAATGCCAACCTCGTTCTACAACGGAATCGAGAACAACACCAACCCAACGTAAGTTCTTCTGCTTCAGACCCTGCTGACTCTAGGTGGTGGAAGGACCCGGGACTCAGGCGCAATGCGCTGTGGGTGTCGCTGTCTGCGCTGCTGTACGGTGTCAAGGGCTACGATTCTGGGATGTTGAACGCCCTTCAAGCCGTTCCCAAGTTCTACGAAGCTTTCCCTCAACTCAAGACCGATTCTCGTCTTCTCGGCACGACGACAGCATTGATGTACCTCCCAGGCTTGGTATTTCCTGCCTTTGGTGCGTGGCTCGCAGACAAAGTCGGTCGCAAGATCCCGCTGCTCGTCGCCATCTTCGGAGCAATCATCACACCCATCATCCAGGCGTTTTCCGTCAATCTCGGTCAGCTCATGGCCGGTCGCTTCCTGATGGGCATGTTCTCCTGCGTTGGCGCTGTCTCTGGCCTGGCTATGTGTGCTGAGCTTTCTCAGTGAGTGTGCATTGGAGTTTCATCGAGAAAGTTTGGCTCGATACGAAGAGTGGGAAGGTGTGGCACATGACCTCTTGACTAACATCCGCAGCCCTCGTTTCCGCGCCCAAGCCATGTCACTCCAGCTGAGTATGTACTTCATCGGAAACATCCTCTGCTCGTCTACGTCGTACGCGACTATTGCGCACCTCAAGCAGTCGACATGGTCGTACAAGCTTCCCCTTCTGCTCCAGCTGGTGCTCCCCGCGATCTGTCTCCCTCTCGCCATTTGGATCCCTCAGTCGCCCCGCTGGCTCATCTCCAAGGGTCGCGTCGAGGAGGCTCGCCAGATCCTGGCCAACTTGCACGCCAACGGCAAGCTTGACGACCCTCTTGTCGAGCACGAGATCCTCGAGGTGGAGAATGCGATTGCGCTCGAGAAGGAGCAGCACGTCGGATGGCTCTCGCTCCTCAAGACCAAGGCGAACCGCTGGCGCATGTTCATCGTCGTGCACAGCGCCGCTGGCGCCCAGCTCAACGGTATCGGTATTATCGCATACTACCTCGTCCCCATGCTCAAGGTTGTCGGCATCACCGACTCCAAGGTCCAGTCCCAGCTCCTGATCGGCATGGGTGTGATGAACCTCTGCGTCAACACTGGTGCCACCTACGTCGTCGACCGTGCCGGACGCCGGCCGATGTGGCTCTCGTCTACGCTCGGCATGCTCATCTCCCTCATCGTCATCACCGGCACCTCGGCCGCATTCACGAAGAACCCGAACCCGTCGCTTGGTAGTGCCACCGTCGCGTTCATCTTCCTCTTCTAGGCCTCGTTCGACATCGGATGGATGCCCCTCGGCACGCCGTACACGACCGAGATCCTGCCCTTCTCCATCCGCGCCAAGGGTATCGCCGTCTCGACCATGTCGACCTACGCCTCGCTCTGCATCAACACCTGGGTCAACCCGATTGCCATGGCCGCCATTTCCTGGAAGTACTACTTTGTCTACATTGGCATCCTCATCTACCTCTTCTGCGTCGCCTTCTTCTTCTTCCCCGAGACCAAGGGCCGCACGCTCGAGGAGGTCGCGTACGTCTTCGGCGACATCCCCGAGGATTCGCTTACCCGCGACGTCCATGTGTCGGAGAAGATTGACGGCGACTCGGAGTCCATCAAGCAGGTCAACGCTCTCCCTGACGGCCGTGTCTAAGCCTCTTGGCTCGGTGAGAAGGGTTTTTGTGGATCTCGACCAATTTCGGAGTCGTTTTGGGGTTCGAGGTTTCTGCACCTGTCCCGATCGCTCGGAAAAGACAAAAGGGGCTTTGGAGACGCACAAATGTGCGATGGACTTGGTCCTCATAGTACTGTGACTATAATATCGTTTCATGCATCATTGGGTTATTGTCTTGGACAGGACTGTGCCGCCTTGTTAACGGGTGGCAACTGATTTGCGGGCCTGCGTTTGACTATGCATTTTCGACATACATTACAGCATGGCAGACCAACCACAGTACACCTACAACAGCTTCAAGCGATCACCCAGCATCTCGAGCGACGACATGCTGTCGGAAGCAACATCTTCGGCTCTGGGATTGACAGGCATCCGGTATCCGGCCAACGACGAGGATCGCTGCGTGGAGGGAAGGACAGTCGATGAGGTGGTCACTCTGATCCTGGACGGGTCAGAAGACCTCTACCCCCGTGCCAGGATGCACCTTGAGTCACAAGAACCCTGGGTTCTGACGACTCTCTACTCCTCTCTCCACGCTTACGACCTGGAGCTGCACGCGACCATACTCGAGTTCCTGCTAGAGGAGAGCGACGCGACCAAGTCGGCTAGCGTGCAGGAAGATCTCAGAGCGGTCGCGCTCACGAAAGCATTCTACTGGATCGAGTACCACTATCTGTCGCCAAGCAAGGCTGAGACTGCATGGAATCGATATCAGCGCACAGCCAGCCAACGGGCCGCACGGCGGCGACGACTAAGGACGGACACGACTAAGCTGCCGACGCATAGCACCGAGACGGTGACGGAGTGGACATGCTCTTACCAGCTCTTCGATTGACCATGCATGCACCATTATGTTAAGGCCCAACACTCCCTCTGCAGCCATAGAAGCTGGAGAGTACTTCCGGGCAGTATTGGTCGGTGCCTTGTACGTAATGACCGGATGTCGTGAACCTTGTTCCTCAGGTATGCTGCGGCGGTCATCCTCACCCGATGACGACCACAGGTGTGCTGAGGTCTGCTCCGTCGCTCCTCCTGTCCATGGGTCAATCACAATACTGTTCATGCGCTCTCTGGCTTCACAGTAGGACTAAACTCGGACTAAGTTACTGCTGATACGTAAGGACCGTGGTTACACGAGCGCCCTCTCCCCCTCTGTGCCCGTGATGACAATGGCGGGCATGTCGCCTCCGTTCTCCTCCGTGTCGCTCTCCTCCCTCTCTAGCCACGTGCCGATGGGATTCGGGCTGAGCTGTCTGTTACTAGCAAAGCTCTCCCTTGAGCTCTCGTACTCCTCCTCCGTCTCCGTGATGACGCCGAGGATATTGGTCGGTGTGCCGAGCACGCGGACCGTGCCAGTCGGGCTGGGAGTGTTGTTGTGGCCGCTACCGTGGCCGAACGAGTCCTCATCGTCGTCCTCGTCATTGTATCCACCATACTGCCCCTCGAAGCGGTCGTAGTGCTCGTCAAGCTCCTCCATTGAGTCACTCTCAGGGAGATGCCCGTAGCTGCTCTCTGAGTCGGTCGTGTCGAGACCGTCGTCGTCGTATCGGAACGGCCCCTCCGACTCCTGACTCGTCGTCTGGGAGGCGAAGCTCGGCGCCTGCAGCGACCGCCCGGAGCGCCCGCTCTTGATGCTCCCGTTCTCGTCATGCTGAGCGTGCTGGGAATTGGTCGAGGAAGGCTTCATGGAGCCCGGGGGCACAAGCCCCGCCTGGTACAGATCGTAGTGATCGTCCAGGACGCGGTCCTTGGCGTGCGTGCTGTGCGTGCTGTGCGCGTCCGTGTCTTGCCCGCTCGCTTCACGCGACGTGGCGACGCCTTTGGCCGTGTCACCGCTCGCGGCGCTCGCGAAGCTGGCATCACTGGCGACGCTGGCAACACTGCATGGCTTCTCGGTCCCGTCGCTACTGCTGGCGTCGTCAGGGCTGCCGTCTCGGTAGCCCGCTTTGCGACTGCGTCCGTAAGCCGTAGCGTCGAGACACGGCTCGCTCGGGTCCGCGCAGTCGTGCCCCACCGTGTCGAGCTGCTCTTGCGGGAACTTGAACTCGGTGTCGAAGTGCCAGCTCAACCGCCACTCGTCGAGCGCGCCGTACGTCCACATGCGCAGGAGCATGCCACGCACGACGGATCGGCAGGCGGCACAGCGCACGCAGCAGTAGCCGAGGTGCGCGACCAGGGCGGCGTCCTTCATCTTCTCGAGCTTCGCAAGCCGCGGGCCGAGCACACGCTGCCGGCGGCGCAGCCAGCGCTCCCCCTCCGTCTCGACGTGGACGTATCCGTCTCCTCCATCCTCATCGTCGTCATCCGACGATAACGTGCCGTTGACCTCCTCCTCGCTCACGTTGCAGATCCGACACGGTCCCTCATCCTCGAGCGGGAGTGCATCGATCGCGTCCAGTCGTGTCTCGAGTTCGCGCCGACGGGCGAGAGCGGCGCGCATCGCCCGTAGCGCAACGGGGTGATACTCTTGGAGCGCGCGCTGCGGCCAGCCCGCGAAGTCCTTCTCGTGGAACCCTATGCCGAGAATGGGCGTACGGCAGGCGGCGTCCTTCTCGAGCTGAGCGGCGAGGTGGGGCGAGTTCTGCGCAACCCAGCGCTGATACAGCGACATGAGCGTGTACGCGATGACGGGGTTGTGCGAGCGGCCGAGGTGTGGGCGCGGGCCGGCGGCTTCGCGCGCGACGTACGCCAGCGGACCGCACAGCTGGTAGATGAACGTGAGCGACACGAGCTCGTCCAGAAACTCCTCGGTCAGCTCCGGCACACGTGGTGCGCGCCCGCCGCCGAGACTGCCTGTCAGCAGGTCGAGCGTGAACAGGAGCGTCTCGGACGATATGAGCGCGAGTTGGATCGGTTTCGCGACTCGTGCCGCCGCATAGTTCTCGAAGTACGTCGACAACACGGCGAGATCCTCGAGCTCGACCCGGAAGCGCACCGCGTCCACCGTTTCGAGGATCGCGCCATTCGTCGGTCGCGTGTACCGCGGGTGGAAACGTCGGGTGTCCGCTGCCATGGTAGGAGGAAAGTCGGTCCGCCGGTCGGTGGCAGGGCAGCGGGAAGTCAGGTCGAACTGCTCGAGTCCCACTGTTCGTCAAGGTAGTTCGATCAAGTTAATGAGTGTTGCTTTTCAATCGTGACGTGTTCTGGTGTTCTTGGTGAGTCTTCGTGACATCGTTCTGGAGATAGGAAGGCGCATCCAAATCTTGTCACGACCTGGTCCGTGAGCGGGCACGCGAACATTGCGCTCGCGACGTTCTGTCGGCCAAGCAACCCAAGGTTTGAGAAGGCGCACGGACCCTGCAGCGCCCAACCGGCCAGAGGCGATCGCTCGCAGGACAGTCTTTCGCGGTCAGGAACGGGACAAACTCGCAGGCAGTTAGGTACAATCATGTCACCGGTTATGAACATGCATGCAGACGTGCTTGATGGATGGTAGTATACAGTTGCTTTGATTGTGGAAATGTGGAATCGTCGCTTAATCGGCGAAGAACGATGTGAACTGCGGCATGCGTCAGTGATCAGGTGTCTCACCCCTGCTGTTTCGATGCTCACCTTGCGACCAGAAGAGTCCTGTGTAGGGTCCAACTCATCAGGTTCCAATTCCTCCTCCTCCTCCTCCTCCTCCCCAACTGGCTCAGCCTTGATATTCTGGGCCGAGTCATTTCCAAAGATGTCGTCGTCGGGCTCAAACTGGCCCTGTGCCGCGCTCCCTGTCCGTTCGGGCAGCGCATCGACGCCTCCTGGATGATCAGGCGCCTCAGGGATGTTAGCCTGAGAAGCGGCTCGAGCGGCATGCTGAGCTTGCTGTCGCTGGGTCGACATGTTTTCGGCAGGGAGGTTGTCGAAACTGATGTCGTCCCAGCCAGAAGGCACCTCGTTGTCCTCTGCGTGGCCGGCACCTCCGTCATCACCGCCGCCCGCTTCATCATCCAGATCCGCGTCGTCCATGGCCATGTCCATGTCTTCAAAGTTCAGTCCCGCCATCTCCAGCACCTCCTCCTGCGTCAGACGGATGCTCTGGCTTCCTCCAGACTGGAACAGCGGTTCAGGGTCGGCTTGCGCCTGCGTAGCAGCACGTGGAGCCTCCGATGTCATACTCAGGCTGGCGCGCAGCCGCGAGGGTCGGTTTGAGCCGCTGGGACGCAAGAGAGTTGCGGAAGCGCGTCGACTTCTGGGATCGACGCTGCCGTTTGCGGGGGCCTGCACACTGGCCGTTCGCTCTCTGCTAGAGGCGATGGAGGGCTGGCGAGTGGACGCTGATGTACTCTGAGGTGCCGCTGCAGCTTCCTTCTTCTGCGTTGGCTGATCGTTGAATGCGTCGCACTTGGTGGTGGCAATGGCGCAAAAGATTTCAAACAGCGTAGCCTCATTGTTGTATCGGTCGTCGCCAATGTACATCGAGCTCAGCGTCAGGGGTTGCGACGCTTCCGAAAATCGAATGTCGAGATCCATCACGAACTGATCGGCAAGTTGCAGAGCAGCCTAGGGTCAGTTCACCAGCAAGACGCCTGAACTCACCTTAAACTCGCGCATGGGCAAGGCGAGATCGACATCCCCGTCGTCATGGTAAACTCCGTAATCCTTGAACTCGCCGACGTTTAGCTTGATCTCCGTCGACAGAGAGGACGAAGGACCATTGTCAAAGTTCTTTACACGAACTTCCTGCTGCCCAAACCTCCACGCAAGCTGACTGTCTCCCTTAACGGCACCATTCGGGTTGGAGCTGCCTCCAAATGCGATCGAGAAGTGCTCCAGCCAGTCTTTCAGCTCACGGGCAGAGATCTGGAAGCCGGAAGGAGTAGAGTCGGGGTCGACAATAACGCGGAGAAACTGCGACGCGTGAAGATGAAGGTTGTGCTTCTTGACGACGCCGTGATGGTAGACGAGCCTGATCTCCAGCCTTGCTGAGAGCTCGTGAACACGAACATCGTCGTCTTCCCCGTCGTCGGCCTGTGTGTTCGCCTTCAACCCGCCCTGAGGGTCGACGATACGTAGATCGATGCGCTCGACCTCATTGACGGCAGAGGCTTTGCCAATGACTGCCAAAACGGACTGATATTAGCTTGGCATCGACGGACGTAGCTCACCTTGACGTACAGCTGGCAGTTGACGCCTCGCCGCTGCTGCTCGGCAGTTCCCACAGCCCGGAACTTGGAGAAGAATGAAGGCAACAAGGAGAACAAACAGTAAGCGGATTTGGATGAGTTCGTCACCGCGAGTTCCCACTGATGTCAGTTCTGGAAGAAGGAAGGCCAACTCACGATATCCTTGTTCGCGTGGATGCAGAGATCGTCACCGAATCGTGCAGCACATTGCAGGAGACGGAGGAAGTCTGGACGTTAGCTCAGGCTTCGAGTTGTCCAGCTCACGCTTGATGTTTGGCTCTCTGATTGAGGCCTCCATTTGCGCTTCTGGCCAGCCATGAAGGAGTGGTCAACAACGAAAACAAGACCTCCACAGCAGCTCACCTCATCTTCTCGTTGACTGCGTGCGGACGCGTGCCGGGGCGCGTCATATCGGTGCCTGAGATATCGGCTGACTGGACTAGCGCGGAACCAAATAGCCAGCCTGCGATCACCCGGCTGAACGGATTCCCGAGGCTCTCCGTATCTTCGCGTCTTCGGCCCTGCCGCGGGGCTCGGCGGGTCCTGATCTTCGCGCACCTCCCCCGTAACTGGCCGCACATCGTCTGGTCGTTGTCTTCCTCCACCCCTACTGACCTTCACTCTCTTTGCTCATCATCTATCTCTCCCTTGCAAAATGGCCGCTACCGCCACCACCGCTGAGATCGCGACCGACCTCCTTTCGGGCCAGCAGCTCGCCCACCTCCTTCCTCCCAGCTGGAAGGAGGACATTCCCAAGTGGTTCGCCGAGGACACCCCCAGCTTTGACTGGGCCGGCTTTGTCGTCGGCGAGTCTGACCAGGAGGCCTTCCTCTGGGGCAAGAGCGGCGTGAGTTAGCTGATCAAATCTCTTACGGGAAGCTAACGGAAAGGGTGTTGTTGCCGGTGTGCCGTTCTTCACCGAGATCTTCAAATACGTCGACTGCTCGTAAGTACTTCGATATAGTGGATCAGAGTCTTGTGTCTGTGAAGCTTTTTGATTTTTGCCCACAAAGCTGATTTACAGTGTTGAGTGGCTCGTCGAGGAGGGCACCGCGATCCCCGACGGAGAGAAGACGAAGTGCGCCATCGTGCGCGGAAAGGCTCGCAACCTCCTCCTTGGCGAGCGTGTCGCTCTCAACCTCCTCGCTCGCTGCAGCGGTGTCGCTACCGTCTCGCGGAGGTTCCGCGACATGGCTCGTGCTGAGGGATGGAAGGGCCTGATCGCTGGTACCCGTAAGACGACTCCCGGCTTCCGCCTTGTCGAGAAGTACGGCATGCTCGTCGGTGGTATCGACCCTCACCGTCACGACCTCTCGTCGATGGTCATGCTGAAGGACAACCACATCTGGGCAACTGGCTCGATTACGAACGCGATCAAGGCCGTCCGTCGCGTTGCCGGCTTCTCGCTCCTTGTCAACGTCGAGTGCCAAGACGAGGCTGAGGCTGACGAGGCCATCGCCGCCGGCGCCAACATCGTCATGCTCGACAATCTCACCGGTGCTGACCTCCACGGCGCCGCCAAGTCGCTCAAGGACAAGTGGCGCGGAAAGAAGGAGTTCCTCATCGAGACCTCGGGCGGTATCGTCGAGGGATCTCTCACTAGCCGCGTTGGACCTGGTAAGCTGGCCAGGTCGAGTAGCCAAGCTGATAACAGACATCGACATTCTCTCCACCTCTGCCGTGCACCAGGGCACGCCCCACGTCGACTTCTCGCTCAAGATCCATCCTGTCAAGAAGTAAACCGGCCCGGAGGCCGGAGTCAAAGTCGCAGATCACGTGCATGCAGTCCATCGGGTTCTTGTCTTCGCTAGTGCTCACATCGCTTTCCGAAGGTTCAACGTTCATTTCGAACTTTTGTCGCTCAGCGTCCGGGAGCCCGGCCCGGAAGTCCCGGCGAAGCAGAAGCAGAGTGCGATTTGCGGGAAAAGCGTAGAGCAGCCGACGCCGCTCGCTCAGCCTCACTGTGCTTCTTATTCTTCCGGATGTCCCCCATGTGCAGCTCTGTGCAGCTCCGTGCGCAACATGCTACCAGCAAGGCGGCGATCAACAATGCGCGGAGAGGGGGGCGGCCTGGACTGTGCGTTATGGCTGAGACTGGCGGCTGAGGCTGGGCTGGCGGAGGCTGGGGACGCGGCGTCTGCGACGGCCTCCGGCCTCGAAACGGCGCCATATCGGCGTGCATAGGTCTGTACGCCGCGCGCTGAACCTCGCACATGCGCACACAGCTCACACAGGCCTGCTGGAAAGCGTCATTGCATTCCTCGCCAGCATCAGGATTGATGGAGTCAGAGCGTCGTCAGTGCATCTCCCCTATCCCTTCCCGGCGGCTGTGGGTGCTTGGCGCGTGAGCATGTCAGGTGATCACAGACATTGGAGTGAAGTGACGATTCAAAGGAGTGACAATTTCCATCTGGGCCCCCAAGTCGCCCCAAGTACTTGTCATTCAAGAGGTCTCGTGACACTGCATAGTGCTGTCCCAGTCAGAGTCCAACAGAGTGGTACGAGACTCCGCGCCAAATGCACCATCGGGCCTGGACCTAAAGTTGGAGAGTGGGCTGGAGGCGCGAGAGGTATGTCGTAATGGCCGCGCGGGAATCGAGTTCCAGATTTGCCTTGGGAGTATCGACTGCGGCGTCTGCGTCGCTTCGAAAACTCTTCTGTGCATTCGGTCGCTTCGGTCGCCCGATCGGTCGCAGCACGCAGCATCGAGTAGGGCTTTCGTAGGTTCATGCATACGCCCTCTTGCCGCCGGCAGAAGTGCCGGAGGGGCTCGTGGACAACGTCTGCGTTGCTTCGGTTTGTGCTCAAGTTCTGGAACCAAAATGAAAGGACGAGGCTGACGAGGACGTCTGAGGGCATACGGCGTGAAGCCGTGAGGCGCGTGAGACTCTTTCATCCAGGAACGCGAGGAACGCGAGGAACGCGAGGAACGATGGTGTGAAGTGCCTTTGCCTGCCTTTGCCTTTGGATGTGTCGTACGTGTCGTGAGAGTTGGGCCAGGAGCGCAGTGGTCATGTGCCCACTTTGCTCTTACGCGACGGCCACGTCCGTGGAACCGTGGCGTTTGGTGTCCTGCCATCCTGGCCTGGGCGTGGGGGACCGTGGGGTTTTTGGTGCGTATGCTCCGCCGGGAGGCGTCGAGGCGCACGGCGCCATCGCGCACATGAACCGAAAGCAATAGAAGGGAGCGGGAATCGGGCCAGGAATGCGCAACCTAATCTGGGGTACTCACGAGCGTCGGCACTCGAGGAGTCGAGCAAGCAAGCAGCTTGCCACTCTGTCTGAGCGTAGCAGAGGGGCGCGCGGAACAACGCACACAAACATTCTTAAGCTTCCCTCCCGTCCCACTTCTTTCTCTCCCCGTTACACTCTGCACGAACTCGAATCTCGCTCTTATCTGTCACGGCCGCGTCATCACTCGTCACCGCTGTCGCACTCGCGCACTCGACACACAGTACACAGTGCACGGCAGACATTGCGAACCTATCTTATCTCTCATCTGCACTCTCAACGAACCCCACGAATCCGCACGACATTATGCGCCCCGGAGACACACCGTATCCGCCCACTCGCCCGTGTCCGCCCATGACCCCCGTTCCGCCGAGTGGGGGCTGGAACTGGAATACGCGCAAGTAGCTCCTGCTGAGCGCGGAGCGTCGCTCGAGTGGTGAGCTGTCGCGGAGTTGCGAAAGCTTACGCTCAGCAACCTCCTACCGCCCATCATGTTCTCTGTGTTGTCGAATACACACACCACCGCACACTGTATCCGTCTCAAAGCCACCCAGCTATCCGCTGTCAACACCACTCCACTCTGAACGTCCACGGCGCCGAGGGCTCCAGCACTCGCCCGTCGCAATCAGAACGATCCCGCCCGCCATGCCAAGCCTGGTCCCCGCTACGTTTGCCTTGATCCGAACCGGATCATGCAGAGAAGACGAAGCGGGCTGCAGCGCACGACCACGACCTCGAAACGATGTTGCCCCCCTGTTCGTCTTCCCGTTCGCGCTCCGCAAGTCCGCGACCCCTGCAGCTTCGCCGGACCTTCGCGATAGCGACCTGATAGTTTGTCTCACTAGTTGTTCCCCCAGTGTATCATAGCCCCCTCACACGATCACGCATAGCGCAGTCTGTTACATATGCATTGTCCGGTCTCTCATCGTCTCCATCCTTCTTCCGCAGTTGCGCAGTACACGATCGTCTCGTTGCTTGGCAAGTCACGATCTCCATGAGCAAAGGCTGCAGACGCGTCTTCGGTTACGGGTTTGGGTGGCAAAGACCCTGCATGCACACTGTGAACACTAGTCATTGAGATCCCAGTCGGAGAGTCTGGAATCATGGCGGCTGTCACGGTTCCCAAAGCGATTCCCACGGATCTCGGTCTAAGCCGGCAGAGATTTCGAATGAGAGGCCGTAATCGAAATCAATGGATGATCCGAGCTTCCGAGGGTTTGATGACCGATCTCGGCGTCTCTCGAAGCTTGTCTCTCCCTTCATTGTCACCGCAATCACCGCGGCGCAGCCAGTGACGAGCAGAGAAGGGGCTGCGAGGTGGAGCTACTAACCATGTTTGTGTGTGCATCCCTCTGCAGTGTGTGGAGCAAGTGAACAGTGTGCGATGGAGTAGATGGGTCAGAGTCCGCCGAATCACACGCTGCTCCTGTATCCGCACAAACTGCTTGTCGATTCCATACGCACTCTCAAATACATCTCTGTCACCGCTCGGCTAGCCAACTCACAATGGAGCGACGGACTATATCGAGGACTCAGACCACGACACTCATCTCCCGGTGCAACATCTGAGCTGGCTGCACCAGCTTTTTGAGGTGACCGAGCACCGCCTCGAGAACACCAGCCCACTTCATTCGCGCATCTGACTGGTCTCACTGAGCATCTCGATCGAACAGAGGCATAGCTGCACACTTGCTCAGGACGTTCAAGCGATCCACAAAGATGGACGGCAGACCTTATCACACGCGAGGCACGGCCCAGACAATATCGCAACTCCATGCTGTGCCGTCCCCTGGCCGTTGACCGCGTTTCGTCCTTATCTCATGCCACTTACTGGCCAGATGACTGCCATGCCTGTCTTGGCAATCCGATGCCTCGGAGCAGATGAAGAGGAGCATGATGGCATGCCGGCTTGGCAAGTTGGAGAACATGGGTGAGTGCGATCGAGGCCGCACGGCATGACGTCTGACGCGATGGTCGATGCGTGGCATTCTTGCACTCCACTCAAAGAGTGCCACTTCAATGCCTCAAAGCCTGGCCAGTGCCTCAAGCTGTGGCAGTGCGCTTGCCTTGTCAACGGCAGCACAAACTGGAACGTACGACGACGGCAGTCTTGGCGTGCAAATACTGACATTCTGGCTTGACCACGGGTTTCTTTTTGCAGACTTAACCAGCAGGCTCAAGCTCAGAAGCGTGGAGGTGGCACAGGCCTTCCTCTGGTGCGATGCTTGCCCGATAAGAGCCTCTACACGAGTCCAGTTATGAGCCGGCACCGCTTGTCTTGGCGTAGCCGAGAATGGTACACCAAGTTTAATCTTAGATAGCTCTTTACCTGGACATGCCTTGACAATCACAGATGACCTCGTCTCCAAGGCATCAAGGAACATTCGTGGCAGATGACCTTGAGCTTCATTGAGCTTCATCGCAATGAGATCTGCTCCAACGGCGAATTGACGATGGCCGCAGCTTGATTGTGGAGTTAGCTCCCCCGCTTTACCGATCTTCTGCGTCAGCGAACTCGAACATTGAAGTCGAGTGGCCAGTACGGTATAAAAGAGACAGCGCGGACCGGACATCTACTCCATCGATTCGTTCGAGCCAACCTAGCCTTACACACCCTCAGCTTTCTACCTTCAACCGCACCCCTTACCAAACATCAACACTCGAGCCAAACATGTCCACGTCTGTCACTCAAGGCATCCCCGACGTCCCCGACGGACTCACGCTGTACACCGACAGCGACGGCTGCCCTTACGGGTGCTACGTCCGCGTGAGCCTGTCGGACGAGCTCGTCATCAGCGGGACGGCCAACCAAGCCGACTTCGTGTACAAGATGTACGACGAGCAGTGCAAGGGCGACTTCCAGAGCGGCAGCAACGAGATCACAAGCTGCACGGGGGCGCCGACGACCGTGGTCAAGACGGAGTCATACTACAACAGCACGGACGAGAGCTTCTGGTTCGACGCCGAGCTCTCGGGCACGGCCAAGGGCGAAGCCGCCATCGACCGGTACATGACTGTGCTGCGCGGGTCTGCGCTGGGCGCAGTACGCGAGACGGGCCAGTGGAACGACCTGTTTCCCTGTCGGGACGGATTCCTCCCCAACGCAGACCCGGACATGTCGGCCGGCTGCGATCCTCACGAGAACAGATACGGGTACATGTCCTCCCGCGTCTCGGCCACCATGTACGATCTAGGCGAGGACGGGCTGGGCGGTAAGAACCTCAAGGGTGAGCTTGAGCTTAGCTTCTCCGTTCAGAAGACGGAGAATGGCTTCTGCAACGCTCTACAGGAGTTTGGATCCGCCCTCTCCATCGCGCCCTTGGGCACGGGCAGCTCCACCGCCCTCGGCGTGGCGAACTACATCGTTGGGCTGGCCTGCAGCTGAACTGCTTGCCTCCCATCCCTACCAACCTTCTCGTTCCGGTACGGAACAATGTCCGCACCATAAATCAGATCACAAGTCCAGGTCCATATATTTAATCACAAAACCCACGACCTATATGCAGAATCATTTTCGGATCTTCTCCCCAGAAACAGCGGCTGTGAAGGACACACACACGAGGCACTTGCCGAGTATGTGACGCCCGCAGGGAGTCAATGAGGTCCAGCCGGTACAATGAGGTCCAGCCAGTGCGCGGTATTGAGATAGCTTCCCAGCTGTAACAGGTAACGAGTATGCATTATATCTATCTGCGGAACGCACGGCGCACTGATTAAGGCTATTCTATAAGACTTCTTCTCTGGCCACATCAGTCTCTCAGCATGGAGACTCCCTCAGGTAGGTCTTCTCCCCCCAACGCTCGGAATACATGGGCAGCCCGTCCTTCCACACGGAAGGCTGGGGATCGTAGCGAGTTGCCTCGCGGCAGAGGAGATGCACCATGGCTCGCACCGCCGGCTCCCCCCGCATCGACTTCACAAACTTCGTGAAGCGGCTGTAGGTGCCGCACGTGTGCGCGGTGAGGCAGTTCGCATGGGCCCATGCGGTCTTCGGTGCGATGTCCGCCTCATTGAACTCGGCGTAGCAATAGAGCGTAGCCCACGTGCTGCGCATCAGAGCTTGGCCATGGCGGAGGCTTGCAGCGGCCTGCGCGGAGGGGCATGCGTCGCTGCTCCATACGTTGCGCTCGGAGGGATGAATGCCCAAGACTTGCGCCTTGTTCATACCTACTGTCAGCCAATCTTACCCCGACAGATGCGAAGAGCGAACACGTACCGTAGTATAACTGAAACAGCTCCCGGCGCGAAGTGAAGCGTGCGCTGACGCCGAGCTTGGCGACACGCACGGCATTCTGTGCCCACAAGACCGAAGCAACATCGTCGATTCCGCGTTCATTCTGGGCTTGAATGAGACATTCACGGCTGAGCCTGCGCTACAGCTCAGTCGTGAGTGACGCGATACCTTCAAAGGCCGCGTCGGAGGAGAACAAGGTTGCCGAGTTGGCCCAGGGGTACAGCTCCAGCAAAGCGGGAGCGTAGAGCGCGACCGCATGGCAGTGAGGCTTCTCGTAGCACTTGACGATAGTTGAGGCTGAGGCTTCAGCTGGGAAGATGCACTGGTTCTCGACGTCAGCAGCGAACTGCTTGGTGCGCTTGAGGGCTGCCGAGAGCGGCTCGAACATTGACGCTTGCGCCTTCTGCATGAAGAGACGCTTCGGGTCGGTGCCGGGAGGAAGGAAATCTGCGTCTGCATCAAGAAGGAGGCGTAGCAAAACGCCGACGCATGCCTTGGTGCGAGTTGCTTCGAACTGCATGACGCGATCTTGCAGACTATCCACCTGGAGGGTATCGTCGTCCTCGCCAGGACTAGTGTCAGTTTATGACCAGCTTGGCTGGGCACTCACTCCAGGCGCCGCAGGTTGTCCTCGACGGTAGCTTCGATCTCATTGATCTCGGCCATGGACCTAGGCAGACAACCCCAGATAGCGTTGTTCAACGACGTGTCCCTCTGCTCGTAGTGGGCGTCTGTAAACTCGGCTGCGCGTTGGTAACGGTCGCCACCCAGGGTGCCAGCGTGCAGGGCGAAGTCCATGTTCTCCGGTGCATCCTGGAATTGCCACCCTCTATACTGCATGAAGGTTATGCCGGGAGTGTCGGGGCGGGTGAGGCTGGGGTAGGGTCCAGGGCTGCTGTCCGTGAGCACTGAGTGTGTCATAGTGTGGATGCTGAAGCCAAGGAGGGGGTGATGCGAGGGTTAGACAAGGAGTGAGTGGGCAAGCAAGAAAGAGGGTGAAGAAAGAGTGTGTCAGGTGAGATGCGGAAGAGTGTGATGGGAAGAAGCGATTGAGGAAGGTCAGTCGCGTGAAGAGGTTAGCAGGGAGGGGCGCACTGTGCGCAGTGCGCACTAATCGGACTGGACGCAGTCGAGCACAACGCGCAGCGAACGCATGTGCATGTGGATGGCATGCGCGACGGGGCGACAGCGCCAGCGTCAGCGAGATATTGGAGGTCTAGCGCGCACGCTAACTCTGTTGTGGACGGTGTGGAGGCTTGGTCATGACCGAAACGGCGTCCGTGCAGCGATCGGCGCTCGGCGTGCTGATCATGGACGCAGCACTCAGGCTCCTCCACCGCCAAGACCATGACACCTGTGCATGAGCGTTGTGTGTTCTCACAGTCAGATGCTTGATTGGAGACAGGAGAGGAGCTAGGGTGTCGAGTAGGCATTCTCTGCGTTACGTGAGGAACGGGCTCCGCTGCTTCTGAACGTCTCTGTTCCGCCGACGTCCGAGGCCGACACTCCGGCGCTGCACGGACAGTGAGAAGGAAGTGACGTAGCTCCGCCGACATCTCGTTGTTTCATACCTCTGGGCACGCTCTTCGGCCTCGCGATGATGTCGAGTTCGGCCGATGCCGCCGGAGTTGTTGGTGTCTCCGAAAGTTCGGGGCGAGCTTGGACGGGATGTGATGCCAAGAGGTTGCTCAGGTACTCAACGCGCTCTGTTTGTTGGAACAGCTGGACGTGACGCGACTGGGCGTCAGCCAGAGACGCCTTAGGGAAATGTCAAGGGAAGGAAGGAGAAGTGAGCCGGCGTTGGCGTCCAGGGAGGGGCAAGTCGTGAGCTATGTGCAAGCGCCAGTGCTCCTCAGGACCAGGTGAGAGGCGATTGACGAGGATCGCATCGAGCGGCTGCTGCAAGCGCTGCCACGACATGATGACAGCATTGGAGGTACATTTGCGGTATGCGAGCTTAACGAGGTTTCGCCGAAGCATGCCTTCGACGTACCGACGTGCCGCAGTCCGATCATGAATGGCTGCTCTTCCCTGCACGGCGCCGTGTCCCTCTCCCTCCTTCCTTGAGGCTTGCCAAGCCGAAGTTCCCCTGGATGACGATGTCGCACATTCGCTGTATCGCAAAGATCGGCAGATTGAGTTTCTGCGCACCTGTGATGCGTTGCACTAGCACATGGAGCAAGGGGCACAGATGTGATCGACCGCGGAGAGTGTTAGCAAGACAACCATCAGGAATGAACAAGGAGGAGGTGGTAGGCGATGTATGCCGCACACGATCCGCTCATACGCAGAAGGCAGCAGAAGCCGGCTCGAGGCGTCATGAATGGGAGTGAATGCCGCCCGGTCCGGACTCAGGCCTATCAGCGTATGAGCCTTTCTCCGGGAGCGGTGGGTCCGGCTGTCTCTACTTAGTCTGACCTGGATGCAGGATCGGTGTGAGAGTTATTCTCAGGACACTTGGGAAGTTCAGGTCCGGGCAATTTGCAGGATTAGAGTTGGGACTAGGCTGGCATGCCTTCTCTGGGTGAGCTTCTCTCGCGCGACCATCACTGGTCCACAACATCTTCACCATGGCGCCGACGGCGGCGGCAGGCGCTGAATGGCTATGGCGCTGTCGAAAGTGATAACAAAGAGGCAAACCAGTGCACTAGATGGTGCTACAGACGCAGTTGATCCAGTGGTGGGTCCGGGAAGGCGTGCAGGCTTGGCTGTGCAAGTGTTGTGTCTCAGTACAGAGTAGAAGCACTGCGCACGATCTCTCGGCAGTCTTGTCATTTCTTGGGAGGCGTTCTGGGCAGCCCTTCCGACAGCGAGTAACCGTGAGCGGGCAGCCGCCAAGCGCGGCTCGCAGCGCTCGTATCTGTTCTCAGCACAGAGCGGCAAGTCGCTGTCCTGGGCGCTGGTACCAAGAGATTCTTGGTAAAGTCTCGGCGCCAGCATCCGGCCCTTTAAGGTCCAGTCGAGTCCTGGCCTCACGTAATTGGGCGGTGTTCCCTGGTTCCTCTCCTCCCTCTGCCCCATTCACTGCCCCTGCATTCTTCGGATCCCTCTTCGAGACTGGCTCACCACACTCGCACAGGTTTCTCCATGCAGAGCGGTTGAGTCGACCACAGCCGGGACCGAGCGCCATGGCGTCGAACGCGGAAGGAGGCTCGTGCACTGATGGTGGGTCAGTGGTCTCGCCTGCACATCTTTGTGTGCGTGCGTGCCCACCCTCATGTTGCAGTAGTTCTTAGCTGGCTAGGAATAGTTGAGCCAAGGTAGCCAAGATCGCACAGTACACAGTTTGCCATGTTAGCCTTGCTCTTATCGGTTTGCTCGCCACACACAACGAGAGATACACTTTGAGCACGAGGACACACAACCTCCGGACAGTCCAAAGGACAAACATGCAGTTTACACAAACAAAGTTGCTACGTCAGGAGTCGCAAGAGTCAGTGTACTCGAAGGAAGCGCAGGAAGAGAGAGAGTGAATTCAATTGTCTCGCCATCAAATGCCTGTTTAAAGTTAGCCTGGCCTTGGCAGCTCAGGACGATCTTCCCTCGCCCTTTGCGCGCCCTTCACCGGCTCACCCCCCCACTCGCGCGCGCGCGCTCGCTGAGTTTTCGGGAGGGAACGCGGTGAATCCAACGAGATGTAACGTACGGTACGTACATGGATGCATGCGAGCTCTGGGACGGGTCGTGGGCCCAGGAAAGGAAGCCGCGCCCGGAGACGGCAGGCGACAGGAACGGCCGTGGTGTCCTGTGATCCTGGGCGTCTGAATAGTCATGTCAGCCAGTTGCGCAGTACCGTAACCGTAGGCGCAGGGACATTCGGCTCTATCAGAGAGTGAGAGGGCATCGGGCAGACGAGAGAGCGCGAGAGAACGAGGTTGCATCAACATCCACCACCGCCCATTAGCGCCTCCCTCACCCGTTCTCATCACCTCATCACCGTCTTCTCTCTTCTCTTCATCTCTCACATCTTCTCTATCTCGCCCGTCCCCTATTCGCGTCTCCTTCGCCCCTACCTAATCACCAGCTCCTATCCTTCCCACTCCGTCCCCACCCTCCTTTCACGAATCAACACAATGCGCGTTACCTCTGTTCTTCTCTCCCTCGCCGCCCTCGCCCCCCTCGCCTTTGCCCAGGACAACGCCGGCGGCGAGGCTGCTCCCGCTCCCGCCGCTGAGGGCGGTGACGCCGGTGCCCAGGCCGGCTCTGGCGGCGAGGCTGCCCACAAGACCGGCTCGGCTGTCGGTGCCCACTCGTCTAACACCGGCCACGGCGGTGGTACCGGCAACCAGGACTGGGTCCTTTCCACCTTCGACGTCCCCAACCGCAACTACTACTGTGAGTTTTTGTTTCACGGACAAGGCGAGCCAGTGCTTGGTAGTGCTCAAAATACACGGACAGACGCGCTACGGCGGCGCCCGTGCGCTACTGACAGGACGTCAACTAGCCTAGACTCGGTTCGCTTTTCCCGAATGCAGAGAAGCTTCAGAACAGCTCGCTGATGGTTTTACAGGGGTCAACGAGGTCAACAACACCGCGACCTGGACTCCCGTCAACGTCACGACCAACCTCGCCATCTACAACTCGAACTCGTCGGTTCTTGACGGCAACAAGGAGATTGCCGCTGGCATCCCGGCCGGTGTCGGCTCCTGGACTGGTCTTGTTTCCGGCTTCGCCCCCGGCAACAACTACATCATGATTCTGACGCTCGGTGACCAGCCCGACCGCAAGATCGCCCAGACTGAGGGTTTCTGGATCAAGTCGAAGGGCACCATCCCCGAGGCCTCTGTCACCGGCGCCGGTAACTCGATCGCCGGAACTCTTGCTGTCGGCTCGGCCACCAACGCTCCCTCCGCTACCGCTGCCAACGACGCTGCTGCCGCCGCCTCCTCGAGCGCCTCCCCCTCGGGTGGCCAGGCTCAGGAGAACAAGGACGGCCAGACGACCGCCGCCCAGGGCGACAAGAACTCGGCCGGCAAGGCTTCCGCTGGCCTCTTCGCCGTCGCTGCCGCCGGTGCCGTCGCTCTCGCCTTCTAAACATCTCACCATCACAACACAACTGCGTCTTGTACCAAAACCAAACCAACCTTTTCATCGCGCTCTCCGGACACTTTCATAGGGTAGTAGTTACAGCTAGGGTCATAGCCTATACCATGCATTAATGCGAGTATCCACGTCCTCGCGGGCTCAACTTAACTGCAGGCTGTCGTCGAGTGACAAGCGGAGGGCGGTCGTGCGCCGCCCGCTGCCCGCTCCTCGCTCGGACCGGAATCGCCGCTGGATTGGACGAGCTGTGCAGTCGCGGCGGCGGAGCAGAGTTGCACTGGTCAAGCGCTGAAACCTTGCGGTCGAGTAGTGCTCGCAGAGGCCTCGGCCCCCGCGCCTGCCGTACCCTCCGGGGCAAGTCTCGGTTAACTCAAAGTTTCCCAGCGTAACTAGAAGTCGTAACTGCCAATAAGTCACGATCGTCTAACCCTACGTGCAGCAAGCACGGAGCGCGTCAGCGCTGTGTGCTCTGTGTGCGCCGTTGAGTGTTGCGTGTGCACGACGGTGACTGACGACGAAGGACGATCGGAGCTTGACGCAGGTAATCTCCGCTTGCAGACGTGTACTCGCCCGCTACGTATGGGCGACCGAAGGTACAGAATAAAGAAGGCGGGCATGCGGGTGTGAGACTCACCGAGGGCGGTGAGATCCGGTACAGAATGCATGCAGTAATCACCGGACCGGCCATCCGACACTTTTGCCCTTCCGGCCCTGCTGGTTTCTCGTCATTCTCTCACGCCCCCGCCTCCGTGCCCGCTCGTCTACACCGAACGTCTGACCATGAACCGACCCCGGACCCGCAAGAGACGGCCCTGCCAATTTCGGATCAGGGGAGATACAGAGGCACGGCTCACAACATGAGCGGAACAGCTTAGGAACGTCTTTGACGGTACTCAAACGGGCGCGTGTGAGTGGGGAAATGAGAACATGGGCGGGTTCTCATTGCGGGGCCGGTATCACGCGACCCGGTGCACCCGGTCCTCGCAGCTGGGTTCTCAGAACATATCGTGCCCATGATTGCAAAGTACGAGACTAGGATGCTGCGCGTTTCGGATTCTCGGGCTCCACTTGCTCACATGCTGCTGAACTTGAGCAGAGGTAGATGATGGTCGGCCGTCCTGCCGTCAGCACCCACCCACGACCACGGGGCATGTGATGACCACGAGCGCCGCCCGCACTATCAGTCAACGAAGGGAGTGGCGTCGGTTCGGCAGCCTGGCATGGTCTGGCGCTCGGCGTGGCTGGTATGCTGCGAGATGCTGAGAACTGCTGCGCCGCCTAGACCATGACTCGCCCATTTGACGTGCAATGGGCGATCTAAGCCTAACATGCGCATGGAATGGCCGTGTCCCACGCATAGTGTGCTTGACATGGCGTGGCGCGAAGTACTGTCCACAAGCAGCTGATGACAGCAGGGCGTGCAGTCTGATACTGACGGCACATACGACTCGGTGTTCTCGAAGGGCTGATTTATGTGTCAAAACGACCAAGAACCTGCGTCCAGCCCAGGCAGCCCAGGCGTCACAGCTAGACCAGGGCGCGGAAGTCGGGCAACGACTGATCACGTAGGAGGCAGTATATTCCTGACCCGTTCCAGTCGCGCCCGTTGCATTCCTCAACCCGCGTCGCACGCGTTCCAATGTTGTAGAAGTGGGTCGGGATATCGGAAATGCGGCGATGGCCGGATGACTTCATCGATCAATTGTTGTGATCTTATCTCATCTGCATCCTCAAGCGATGTACGTCAGTGCGGATTCCGGCGAGCCCCGACCCACTCCTCCTTGCTTCCATGTACTAGCGAGACACTGAGAAGCGGGGATCAGTGTGCTTCGACATTATGGCAGATTTTCGTACTTTGGGTGCAGGTCGTCTCTTCTTCGGCCACCTCCAGCAGCATGGGGCGCTACGTCCAGAGTGACAGTGTGGTCCCGTGTCAAGATGGACAGACTGTGTCAGAATGGGGAGCTCGGGGAGCGGCGAGGGGCGGTATTTTAAGCCAGCTACAGCGGCCCCAGAGGAGACGATCGTTAGTGCTGGTGGGCTGATAGGAGAGGCATCACATTGGCTAGGGCCGGCAGATACCGGTAGCCTTGGAAACAACCTGCCATCCTGGCCGACCCAAAGTTCACTATCTGGTTCTGTCCTTAAAGCTCCCTTCCTTCGATGGCTCGCGTAGGCGGTCGGAAGAAGAGCGACTTCCTCGCCGAATGTACAACTGCAACGCGTCCCGCAGACCTTGTGTGCTTACAGCCGAGCTCTGCGGGAGCAGGTGTCCGGGAGTTTCAACCCTTTTTCCATCTTTTCCGTCGTCTTTTCACGTGTTTTGCGTAGGTGACGTGAAACGAAGCTGTGCAAGTTCCGGCGAGCCTTATCCAGGCCCAGAAGACGCTCAGACTAACCAGAGCTCGGTCATGTCGTAACCCATCCAACTTCTTCGTCGTTCACCAACGTCTCGGAGAGATTCCCGTGCGGCACATCGCGCCCCCCTCGCGTTGAAACCCACTGATAGCAGATGATAAGCTTCCGGAACACTCAACCTTGCCGGGATGGAAGACAACTCGGTATAGTGTATCTCTTGCATGCTTCTCGAGTCCTAGGTCAGCCCGTGTCGACTTGACTGCTTCACAATGCACAGCTTTTGTCGGTCTTCGTACCCGTCGGCACGGAAAGGATGTCGCAGCACCCGACCGAAAGCACTTGTTTGCTAGCATCGACGATGCCACTGTCGCTCTGAGTGAGGCGGCCAGTTGCCGCGCATCACGCCAACAGCTAGTTCTTGCTAGTCTGTCCTCAGGAAGATATAAGAGCTGGACGAAACATGGACAACCAAGAGATCACCATCTCAGCACACACCATCATGAAGTTCGCTACCGCCTTTGCCATCCTCGCCTCTGCCGTGAGCGCGGCCCCGCACATTGTACAGCTTGAGATGCGTGACGAATGTGTCGGGAAGCGCTTCGCCGTCTTTGCAATCGACAACAGCAACACGGGCCACGACGCACATTAAAAACAACGTTCCCGAGGAGTTCAAGGACCACACCGCCATCATTCTCCTCACTGATGGCCTCACTGTGACTGACGGCGGACCGACCTGGGAGGTTAACAACGCCATCGGCGTTAAGATCGCCCGTGCCATCCATGACGCTGCGTACGAGGGTATCCGCGTTCACTGGGGCCACCTCAATGCTCAGCACGACCGCCGCGACGTGTCTTTCTACAACACGGCCTCGCGCGACAGCGGCGGCTTTTTCTCGGAGATCAACAATGCTGGCGAGATTGCCGGCTATGTTGATCAGCTCTTCAAGAAGGGCATCACCAACAAGGACGAGGAGTGCCGTGGAAAGCCCCTGCCCGAACCCTCCAAGCAGCCCGAGACCTCTCAGCAGCCTGAGCCATCCAAGACTCCCGAGCCGACCAAGGAGCCGGAGCCCTCCAAGTCGCCCGAGCCTTCCAAGTCCCCCGAACCTACCAAGGAGCCCGTGCCCACCTCGAGCTGCCCCGCTCCCATCGTCTCTACTGTCACTGAGAAGGTCACCGAGACCGTGAAGGATACTGTCACTGCCCCTACTGGCAACGTGTGTTTCGCGCCTTGCGATGCTCCTGGTGTCAAGCCCCTCACCAATGTCAAGATCGAGCTCTAATCCTACGGTTCTGCAATCCTGATGGTTGGTAAACCCTTTCATAGGGCGGTTGCCCGTCGCCACCATGTATCCGCGTGATTCCATGTAGGATGCCCGCTGCTTCCTTCTGTTAGCAGATCCTTGTTTGCTCGTTGCAACAAAGATCGTCAAAGCCATATAGCCGTCACGTTTAATCTAACCGATACCCAGCCCTTCGGATCCTTCGATTACCCTATCATTTAGGCCACCCTGCGATAAGTGCTTCGGCATAAGGCGTGCCGTACGTACAGTATGTCATCGGATGCGTTATAGCGCGTCAACTCCTCGAGTCTCAATGCATCTCACTTTCCCCATTAATCTCAATGGGCCCACCCTCCTAACGTCAGAGCTCTTCAAGTCCGTCAAGCTCCGAGTCCCAACTCCACTGATCTACATCACACCTCCTGCACAGTGGCTAAGGTAGCCCGCAGCCCCAGGCCTCGGCCCTCAAGCGTCTGATCTCCATGCGCCGTGTCAGATGACCGTCTCCAGCGCTCTCTCACGACGGCTTCATTAGATGACTGCGCGCAGATCGCGGACGCAAACCAAACCCACTCTGACGCATTCCAGATTTCGAAGTCCATTCAGTGTCCCAGTCTAACATGTGGTGATCAGTTGGTGACTGACCTCATAGCCCATCGCCGCTCCGCAGCTGGGGTCCAGCGGGCTCGGCACCGGAGCTAGGTCTCGGACTCGCTGCCTGTTGAGACGGAGATGAAGGGAGTCGCACCACCTGTGACGTCGGTTCCACCTCCACATCCACATGCTGCTCAAGTGCTATCCTGGTACATACCACCCCGGAGTAGCTGAGCACGTTCGCATGCTGCACGGAATCACGTTCAGGACAGCTGAAATCAACCTAGAGTCTCAAAGGATATAAATCACCCAGCGGGGCCAAGGTCGACTCCACTTCTCCCAGTAACTCTCAAACCAGCAACAACAGTAAGCCCTGCCACCTCAGACGCACGCTGATGGTAGATGTCGAACCAGCAGAACCTCCAGAACCTCGCCCAGCAGGGCGCTCAAGCCCTCGGCGGCAACCAGGGCGGCGGCGGCGGCCTCGGTGGTGACATCCAGAACGCCGTCGGCGGCCTGGGTGGCGGCGGTGGCGGCGGCGGCATCGCCAGCGACCTCCAGAACGCGGCCGGAGGACTCGGCGGAGGCGGCGGCGGCCTCGGCGGCGGTGTCCAGAACCTGCAGAACATGCAGAGGCTGCACCAGGGCCAGGAGGCGCTCCAGAACCTCGGCGGCGGCGGTGGTGGTGGCGGCGGCATTGGTGGTGAGATCCAGAACGCTGTAGGCGGCCTCGGAGGCGGCGGCGGTGGCCAGGGCGTCGGCCAGGACCTCCAGAACCTCGCTGGTGGTCTTGGCGGCGGAGGTGGCGGCCAGCAGGGCGGCGGCGGTATCGGCAATGACATCAAGAACGCTGCCCAGAACTTCCGCTAAGCGCAGGTCTGGCTTGTAATGGGGAAAAATTAGTGAAATGCAGTCAGTAGCAGCAGCCTCGGACTGTCAGGAGCAGACAACTGACATCATCGGTGACTCACCTCTCGCAGTATCTTGGGACCATCACCGGTTCCTTCGGCAGCCCCTTAGCCCACTCGAACCGCAGCGTGTGCTCGTCATGTGGTCGCGGGATGTCGTTGTCGCAGCTCGCGATCGAGACCAGCTGCTGCGATGACGCATTAGCTCGCATGTCACCATCAGTCGATGCGATTTGCGCTAGCTTGTGGCAGATGATATAAGTGGAATTCCAGCGAGCCCCTCACTCATCGACCTCCAACTCCCACGGCACCATGAAGCTCGCCCTCGTTCCTTTGCTGGCCGCCATCGGTACCACCGCTGCTCCCGTCCACCACCAAGAGCGGTACGTCCCCAGCACACACGCAAGCGCGGCCGCCGTCAAGCGCGACGTACCGGTTATCCACATCAAACGCATCGAGCACGACGAACGATACGTACCGACTGTTCATGTGAGCAGCGCTCCCAAAGCTGTGTAGATCTTCCTCTTGAAGACTCCGCCACCCCAATGCATATCTTGATAGTGAATGCTTCGAGATGGATGAATGGGCGATTCACGAAGGAGCGTACGCACATTGTGTTCACTGGCGCTTCAATCTAAGTCGGGAAGAGCTTCACGCTGCTCGTCATGGCACCCTCCCTCTTGAGATGTTGCCCATGGTAAGCCTTGTCAACCGCTGAAGGCGTGGTTCAATTCTGGCAAGCTGATACCGTCTAGCTCCCGACAGATGCCCTCCACCCACTCGAACGTGCGACTTCGAGCGCCTTCTCGCTGATCGATGTGCCATGCGCAAGAGCGATTGTCGATATGGGTCTGATCCTCACATCTCGCACCCGTCCACTCACCTCGCATATCTACGACACTGACTGGTTTGCGCTATCTCTACTCACTCAGTTCACATCACCGGACCACCTCCTGGAGTACGAGCCGAGCATGGCCCCCTTAGCTATCCCCGTCCCCTTCCCGGGGCCGTATCCCAGCCTCCGCGACCCCGACGTCCCCGGAATCACATTCAGCAAAGAGAAAGGTTGGGTCTTTCACGGTGCACCCGACAACATGAACTTCGTCCTTCCCATGGGCACAATCGGCGGCGACATCTATCCTCGCACCATCACGCTCACGAACCAACACCATGAACAGGAGGACACCTCACTGAACAAGATGATCTGGGGTGGTTTGCCAATCACTAAAACCGAACTTGATGCGGTCGAGCAGGCCGTCGATGACAACTTGAAGGACCTCAAGTGGGTTCCAGTCTGTGAACTGCCATTTTAGCTGACGGCAGCTCGAGCGAAGGTTACAGCAATCTCGAACCGGGCCGCTTGCAGCAGCGTATCACTGACTTCGAGGCGAAGCGTGCCAAGGCGTGCGTCGGCGTTCTCATGCGTATCCTTCACGAGGAAGAACTTGCTGCGGACGACCCCGCCGATCTGTACCTCAATCTGGCGCAGGCTCCCAAATGGGAACCGCTGACCCAAGCTCTTTACCGCACCAGCAATCTCGTCAGTGACATCGACCCTCTGTAAGCTTCGCGAGCGCAGTTTGCTCCTAACATAAGTAAACCTTGGCCCAGCAGCCACATCTCCGTGGCCGCGCTGTATGCCCTCAGCCTTCTCGAGCTTCATCCATGGATCAACTCTCCGATCCTCGTTAACTCCGACCCAGCTTTCGCAGTCATTGCCCCCCTTCAGCGTCAGCTGTGGGGCAGCCTTGCCGAAGCGTGTCTCACCCATGCTCAGTCCCTCTTGGGACCCGATGAAGACGCAGCGGCCAGGTGGGCCAAACATGCGCTGCGTGTGTCCCAGATCTGCCTCAGCGACCGTTACATTACCCGCGACAGGCTCTTCAGCGCATTCCAAGGTGCGCTGTCTCCTCCAGCTCTTCTTCGTATACATCAGCTGACAAAAGTCATGTCGCTCGCGCAGATCGTGAGCGTGCCCCCCACCGAACGCCGCGTCTGGGCCACCGAGGCGTGCACGCCCGCGCAAGCCGAGGCGAAGCTCCGTGACGGCCAGTCTCTCATGCGCATCGCATGGTCATCTCTCTACCTGCTCGCCGAGTTTGGCACGGACTGGGACCGCAAGAGCGACAGGGCACACGACAACTGCCTCACCTCTCACACGTGTGGGACCTATGATCGGTTCGTCAACTTCATGCAGGACGAGTTTGCGCAGAAACAGGTCCACGGGGTCGGCCACATGGCCATCTACTACGACCCCACGCCTTGCGGGCTCAAGAACGGTCTGCCTCACTACTGCTGCGAGCGCGGTGGTTGTGGAGTGAAGCCCAAGGAGCTCTGCATAGTCACGCCGTGAGGCATGGACTAGTGACATACTGTACATGGCCAGGAGCAAGAGCCAGACTTGGTGGAGGCTCAGCTGTAGAGTAAGCCTCGATGCATGCTTGTGAATCACTTGAGTGAGCGACAGATGGCGAATTGCTCCGCCACTCAAGGGAGGAACAGCCGCGATGAGGAGCTCGCAGAGTTCCCTTGAGGGCAGCTAATTTCGCCCATCGTCGAACCCTCTGTTGCGACCACAGCTGCAGCACTGGCGGAGCCCTAGCGGTGCACCTAGCGCACTGGCTCAGAAGAGCAGTGCAGAACAAGTTATGCTCCGGTCGCAATGCTCATCTCACTCCATCTGAGGGGCGCACGCTATCGATGCCCTATCTCGGTCGCTTCCACTTCTTGATCACTCGGCGACCTAATCAGATTCCCGCATTCGATTGTGAGCGGCGCGGCATCGCAACCTTCTTCGCTGGCCGCCGAGATATGCCGCTCCGCGAGCGTCGGCCACTAATCTCATGCTTCAACGTGCCTTTACCAAATCCACGCTTCTTCGGGCAGATATCAAACTTGGCAAGCTGGCTATAGTCCTGGTTCTGGCGTTGATGGGCTTGGCAGCCCCGCCTCAGCAACGAGGACACCGGAGCAATTCTCCGACACTTCCACTAAGTGTCATGTCCTGTGCTGTTTAGAGTTTCGGGCAAGCAAGTAGCGGAGCTTGAAACTCTTCTCGGGCAGCACTAGTGGTACCGGAACGGAAGCGGCGACTGCTGCGTCCGCCGTCGGTGCAGCAGACCGCTTTGCCGGGCACTGCGCCGCACGCTGCGTGGTTGAAAAAGGGCCCTATCGGAGAGTTGTACAGCGCGACCGACGTCAGCAATGGGAGGTAGCAGCAGCGCACGCAAAACATCATGGGACGAAAGAGGTGCTGCGCAGCGCGGAGCAGGACGTCGGGTGATTCCAACAAACCGCGCACGGGCACGCATACCGCGATGTACGTTCCTGTGTGCATTCACCGGAATTCCATGCCGCAGATCCTGTCATGTCGATGCGCTCCTGCACGCTGGTAGGCGAGGATGTGAGGAGACCCGCGGAGACGAGATGTGGGGTCCGTGTTGCGACGCTCGGCGGGACCGCTAGCGTGCAATGTTTCCGCCGGTGTGAGGTGTGTTACTGGCTGAGAGCTGCGTTTTGAACAGCAGAAAACAGGTATGAAACTTCCTAATCTGCTTAGTTTCGCCTGCGTGCATGTGCTCGTCGTAGGATTGTGTTCATGGCTGTGCGGGGATGATTGGTGGGATCCCTCTCGGACATTTTGTGAGACAGAGGCCGTGCCACGCTTCCGCTTGCGTTCTCGGGAGCTCGGTGCAGTGGCAGTCTCCACGGCGTCGAAAGTCAGGCGCGTAACGGGTCTGCGTCACGTGTGACACCCATGAGGCTCTTTCCGGGCTCGCAAGCGAGGCGTACCGCTCAGTGGCAGCTTTCCGCCCACGCTACTCTGCCCATGCTCCCTTGCACCGTACCCATTGGCTATCAACGGCGGCTGTACATCGCGGAGGAGAAGAGAAGGTTCACTGGTCCACTTACCATCCAGTAGCGCCCGCTGTCAGCCGCTGCCTGCCGCCACCGACCGCACCGAAGGCCGACGTACGTCAGCTCGGTATGTCGGAACCGCGTCTGACCCGGAAGCAACTGTGATTGACGCTACGTCGCACGAGCACGGCGCGTGTAGCCGCGTAGAGCGCAGGACGGGGACGGGTGTCCGTGGCGGGCGAGGCTCGTGGCGAATTGTCCTCTGGTGTAACTGCGCTACTGCCCAAGTATTGAGCCACCGTGTCATGATTCGTGCGCGGCTGATCCGCAGAGCAGGACCGCATGCCGGGTCCCGAAGTAACGTGTCTCCTCTCTAGCGTGCTTGCACATCGTGCCACCGCGTCATGTTGTCCAACAGGCGTTGCGCGGGGGCGCCTTGGATCTCAAGCCATGTGGGCATCGCCCATCGCTCAACGGAACAAACTTCGCTCACCGAACGGGTGACACCAGTTCTCAAGACAATTGAAAAGCCACTGTCCGGTGTCCGAGCACATGTGCCCATGTGTCCTACTCTGCTCAACTCTACATGCACAGCCGCAATGGCGTCGCGCTCCATCGTTACTCCGCGCGGCTCGTCCCCGTCTCCTTCGTCCTCCGTGTGCCATTTGGGGCCGCGGGTCTGGGTAAGACGAAGATGTGCTTTCGGGCGCCGAATGGCAGCCGTGGCGGTTGGGATGAGTGGCACCAGGGAGCCAGCGCATGTGGTGGTCCTGCCGGATCGAAACCACACTAACGCTTTCTCCTCTCTCAAGCTGTACCGCTAAACGGGCTCGTTTCGATCCCATCAGATCTCCCGGCGTCTGCTACCCGATGGGTCTTGTTGGTGTGGCGGCCGGCCACTCGTTAGCCCGACCCTAGCCGGCGGCGGGGGCACCGACGCAGTTCCGCGGTCTAGCACTGAGTTATGCTCGACACTAACGAACTTTCTCAGACGAGTATAAGAGCCAGCGGTCCGGGCAATGCTTAGCCTCATCGTCTTTCGCAGTCGCGTCTCCGACCACCCCTTCAGTCTTCATTAATTTGACCAACTCTCCACCCTCCTTACTTTCGAAATGAAGACCGCCATCCTCTTCGCGACGCTCTCGGCGCTCGCCGCCGCCGCCCCTCCCCCCGGAACGGGCCTCTCGGCCGTCGGCTTCGGCTCGCTCAGCGGCGCAGCCTCCATCGCCGTGTCGCAGGAGATCGTCTCCGCCCCCGCCGCAGCCTTCAACGGGAGTGTCGGCCCCGGCGCCGGACTGCCGGGCGCGCCGCAGCTGGACGCGGAGACGCTGGCCAAGGCGCGCGAGGGCGCCAAGGCGGCCACGAGCAAGCTCACCGAGGCCCAGCCGGCCTCTCATGCTTCCAAGGTCGCCGTCGCCCCGAGTGTGCCGGGCAAACTTGCTGGCGGCGGCGGTGGCCGCCCCGGGGGCCTGGGCGACATTCTGCGCAGCATGGGCTCGAACCCTGCCGAAGTTGTGCGCGTCACTTCCTCGCATCTCCTCGGCCTGAGCCCGGGGCTGTTCGAGGGCGTGCTGAGGGATCTGCTCAAGCCCTGGTTCACGGACGGGAAGAAGGAGAAGATGGGCGACGAGGAGGTGCAGAGCTGGCGGCCGCTTGCTGAGCTCGTTGCGGCGTCCTATTGTCCTCTGGACAGGGTGCATGACCTTACCTGCGGCCCCGCTTGCGACGATATCAAGACGCGCAACGTGACCTGGGTCGGCGGGGGAGGGGACAACCAGTCCAACCCGCAGTGGTTCATTGTCGACGACGGGTCTCGCCTCATTCTCTCCCTCCAGGGCACGAATTTCGCGAGCATTCTGTCCTGGGCCAACGACATCGACTTCATCCCCCTCGCCCCGCAGGAGAGCCACTTCCCCGACGCGAACGGGGCCAAGATCCACCGCGGCTTCTACTCCGCCTTCACGCGCCAGATTGGCGACATTGAGGCGGCCCTCGCGCCTCACTTGGAGAGGCGGAAGGAGATTGTCGTCACGGGCCACAGCCAGGGCGCAGCCCTCGGCGAGATCCACACGACGTACTTGATCCAGAAGTATCCCGACCACCAGATCACGGGGCGCGTGTTCGCCAAGCCCCGTGTCGGCGACAGGACGTGGGCCGACTACGTCGACAGCATCACGCGCGGCCGCCTCGAGTTCATGCAGAACAATGCGGACCTGGTCGGTCTCCTGCCCCCGATTGAGTGGGCGTTCCGCCACCCCAGTGGCGAGGTTTGGATCGACGGCACGGAATACTTCAAGTGCGAGGGACAGGAGAACCAGAACTGTATCGACTCCCAGAGAGCTGTTGGGTGGATTCCCAATGTCGTCATACCCATTAATGAGCTGCAGGCTCATATTGGGCCCTACATCGGCGTGCAGATGGGGCTGTGCGGTATCTACTAGGCGTATACCGGAGGGGAAGGGACGATCATGAGTGATGTCTTCAGTACATCTTCAGTAATCATAAGAACTATGCGAACAGTGCTCAACGGGTTGAGGCTGCCGTCAGGGAGTCAGAGGAATGGCACCGACGGTGCAGAAGCGGTCGAAGCCGAACGGTACTGATGGTGTGATCGTGTTCTTGGCAGACGGATGGCTTTCGCTTAGACCTGTCCGAAATTTCGACACTAGCAATGCTAGCGCAAAGGCGACGAGTGCCCCTCGACATTGAACGAGTGTCAGTGAGACGATTAGCAGATTTGACTGTATTCTGATGATGGGTTGTGAGAATCCGAATGAGGCGAGCTCGCCATCGCCGAGGATTCGGCTGGAGGTCCGAGTGCAGACCAAAGCACAGAGCAAGAGTGATGATGAGTGAGATGTCAGCAAGCCAAAGCATAAACAAACCCGAATCAAGCGGATATCGAACGCGTCGCGTCCAGTTGGATCCAGTGAGCGTGGGCCGGGACGCTCGGGCCTCTGCGGGATGGTGCTTGGCGCATTATTGGCCAACTGGCGCGGTAGAACCGGAGGCGGCAGGGCTAACAGGGCAAGCAGGGCTAAACGGGGCCGTAGCATTCCAGGCTTGCTTCTTGTCCAGGGTGTCCTGACTGGTTGGTGGTGGCTTGAAAGGCTGGGATAAGGGGCGAATAGACAATCCGTATGCACGCCGTAATCACGCCAGTCACGCTGGGTCAACAACAAGGACAAGGAGGGGTCGAAAAAGTCGACACTACTACTGCGGGAAGATCGGCCGAGATATGGAAGCAAAAGAGGACAAAAGCAGTCGCGTCCCCCTCTTGTCTGGGATTGCGAAAAGTCTGGATCTGCAGATTGTTGAACCGATGAGCAAGTCAGGAGGCAAGGGTGAAATTGTGATTCCGCAGCAGGTCTCGTGCACGAGGGTATCATACGGCATGTTGTCTTGGAGCTGCGAGTCCGAGTCCGAGACTCAGCGGCGGCGGCGACTTTGAGTCCTGTCCGAAAATATACTTTGGCGGGGGATATGACGAAATGCAGAACAAGGGGCTGTGCTGGTTGGACAGAGAAGAGGTAAGGTTTCGAGGGGGTCCAGAGCCCACCATGAGCACCAGTTTGGAGCGCTGTGCCCCGTTGCTCCGTTTCCTCGGTTTGCTCTGGGAGTAAGTAAGTCATGTGGTGTGTCTGATGCAGGCTGCGCCGGCGGTGCGGAAGGGGAGGAGGAGGTGCGGCGACGCATCCGATGCTTGACTGTGGGAACTAGAAGACCAAGTGCTTGTGAGTGGAGGAGCGTTTGTTGTCAGCCGTTATGCCAAGGAACGCAGGAACAACAGGAACGACAGCCCAGGGTCATCCGAGGAGGGACACACTCGCATCGTCCAGACTCAGAGAACTGTCAAGCCCTTCAACACCCGCCCCCCTCCGTTCCTCTCTCCTCTGCTCGATGGACGAGCAACTGGATGTGCATGCCTTGGAGCATTGGGAGCACAAGCACACTCGCTTGCCTTCCTTCTGTGAAAACTTTGTCCATAAGATCTCTCTTGTCTTAGCGAACGTCGTTCAAGTCCCAGTCCAAACAAGTGTGTGCAGAGATGAATGCATGAATGCATGCAGGAATCAGAGTGAGCCTGAGAATGGCTTAAGGACATAATCCACCCAGAGAAGGAGGGGGGGGCGGTGTAACTCGTTCCCAGCGAGAGACTGACTGGCCATTCAGGCGATCGAGCAATTGGAGCGACCTCTCCCTGCATTGCAACAGACGACGGAACCACCCTCTCACCCTCTGACTCTCCTGGCCACCCACCGAGCATCCCCCGTTCCTCGGCTCCATCACTCCTCTCCCTTCCAACTCCATTCATCGTCCAAGCCATCTCTTCCTTCTCTAACAACCTACTCCGACTTTTGTCAGACAACAACACTTGACTCTTCCAACTGCCCACCCACACTCACTTGACTTCGACTTCGCACATCTCTTTATCCGCGCCCCATCGGCACCCCCCGGCCCATCATGTTCCTCCTCGCGGCCGCCGCCCTCGGCATCGCGCCGGCGGCTGTGCACGGAGCGTGCATGGCCCTCGGCGGTACCACCATGTGCCCTCACTGTGCGTGTTCTCATATACTCCGAAACAACACCTACACACGCAGCGCGCTAACCACCATCGCAGTCCAGAATTCGTACATCGACCCGCAGGCACTCGCAGACAACCCTCCCGGCGCCAGTAACTGGGGCTTATCCTGGGACTGGCTCAGCGACGTCCAGGATGCGTCCACCTTTGACGCAGGCTTCAAAAAGTATCTCACTGCGTCCTCGGGATCGTCCGGTTTCCGCGCACAGGTTCAGGACTCGCTCAACTGCTGGAACGGCAAGGGCGCATCGACGTGGGGATCCGACTCTATCCCCGCCGACAATAGGACCGGCCCCACGTTTGCGTACCAGACCACGGCCCTGTGTTCGATCATGGTTGGCCAGCCTAGCAGCTGGGCGTGCGCCGAGCAGGGTGAGTAGACGCTTCCATACAGTCGACTGACATGACGCAGTGCAGGGTAACCCCGACACGCAACAGCCGGCGTGCGCCGACGTCTGCGACCGTTTCGCCCAGTCCCTCAAGGACATTACGAGCTCGAGCTACTGGTGCGGCAGCGGCTCGCGCTCCGGCCAGGTCGACACGTGGAAGAAGTGGTGCAACGCGCCGTCCAACTCGTCGGCGACGTGTGTCGAGGGCAACGTGAACGAGGGCAACTGCGGCTTTGGTGACTGGACGAACGGTCTCTGCGAGTACTGCCAGGGCGACGGTGCGGGCGACAGCTGCTGCTCGTCTGCTTCGTCCTCCTGCCCCGGCATTAGCGGCTCGTCGACTTCTGGTTCTACCAGCGCTTCTGGCACTAAGACTGCCGGCGCGGGCTCGGCGAACAAGTCGGGCGGCTCCAAGGGTCTCTCTGGCGGTGCTATCGCGGGCATCGTCGTCGGTGTCGTCGTCGGTGTGCTCCTTATCGCGGCCATCCTCGGCTTCCTCTGCTGGCGCCGCAAGAAGAGGACGACCAAGTCCAAGCCCCTCGCCGCCGCGCCATACGAGAAGTTTGGCGGAAACGAGGCCCAGAACGCCCAGTCGTCCCACTCCGTCTCCCCCGCCTCGATGCAGGACACGGCACCCCTCACTGGTGCCGGCACTGGCACCGAGTCGCATGCTGGCCGCAACGCCGCCCTCGGTGCGGCTGCTGGTGCGGGCGCTGGTGCCGCCGCCATGGCGGCGCACAACCGCCACTCGCCCGAGACTACCCGATCGACCTCGCCGGCCACTGCCGCTGCGACCGCTCCCGCCGCTGCTCCGATGACCCAGGCGAACGCTGCACCTGTCAGCCAGGCCCCCGTCTCTCAGCCCGGCACGACGGCCGCGGGCAACTTCCACCGCGGTCCCGGCATTGGCGCCGGTACTGCTGCTGCTGCTGCTGCTGTCGCCGTCCCCGCCGCTGCTGCAGGTGCCGCCGCTGCGCACCACGGTTCGCGTCCTCTCCCAGCCTCGCCTCCCCGACAGGCGACCTCTCCCCCTCCGCGCCCGACGACGTCCTCTCCTGTCTCGCCCGTGTCGCCTACCTCTGCCTCCTCCGGCGGTCGCAGCT